ATCTGGTGGCATAAATTTTTATATCGTTGGCAACGTGATCAGATTTGTTTTTCTGCCAAAGTGATCTCTTTTTGGATTGAAGCTTCCTTATTGTTATGGGTAATTTGTTTTTTTCTGGTTTTGGAGTAGTTATTGGTACATATAGTTTGATGACTCTTTTGACTTCAAGTAAAAATATGTTGTAATAGTCTTCAACAGTATTCCATCCAATGAATAGAAATTGCCAATCAAGGGATGAGAGATCATTGTCTATAAGATCATAGTTGCCTTTTTTGAAGTTATAATTGGGGATCTCATTGTTATGATGATTTTTGTGTGGACATATATGATTGACAAAAGTCAATCATGTTGTGGTCACTGCTGGAAAAGGGTTCTTTAATTTGTATTCCGTAAATTGAATTCAAACTATTGCAGAAAATGAGATCGAGGCAGTTGTTAAGTCTAGTATTGTTGGTTACTAGTTGTTCCAGTCCCAGATTTGTTACAGCATTGTAGAAGGTTGCATGTATGGGTTCAGTTTTACATTCGTTTAGGGTCCAGTTAATATGAGGTAGATTGAAGTCACCAAGAAAGATAGAAGTATGTGGGCATGATTTTGCACATGTTAGTAGTGAATTTAACTTGTTTACATGTTAATGTTATATGGATAACATCAGAGTGGAAAATAATACAGAGTCTATTAGACAAATATATTAATTGATTAGTGGTTTTCAGCTATCATTCTTCAAAAGACTATGGGCTAGGGAGTGCTGTGCTAAGTATTTGGCTTTGATTATAACATCTTGCAAGTGAACATCTAAGAATGACTCTCCTTTTCATATTTCTTAGGAGTTTCCCAGAAGTATCTGGCCAATTACTATGAAATGTCAAGTGTGAGCCCAGAGACTCTAGTCTGAGCCCTCTATTCGTTTACACCTAATGGACAAGGTATTGCAAACTAAATATATAAACCTTTAACCTATAAAATGTGTCCTGAGAGATTCTAGGGTATGGTTACCCTGAATATCTTCTCGTCTCCCCCATCTGTGGCTTTTCACTGCCTGCTTCCTGGCGACGACAGGGTCTGAACTCCATCTCAGGACTAAGCAGTCTCTTAATTCAGGCATCTTTCTAGAAAGGCTCTGAGTTGGCAAAATCATGTCCCTCTATTTCTGCAGGTGCACATTCCACCACAAAAAAGACGAGTAGATGGTCTAACACAACACAGCCTGTCTTACCTTACCTTTATTTCTTATCTTCTGAGAAGGATTATGAGGAAGCTCTAAGTGCATTCTCTTTCCCCACAAAACATTTCTTCTTCTCTCATATCTTAATTTTTTATTACAATGGCATACTCATTAAATATGACAGAACTGAAATTATTTTAGTGCTGTAAATTATAGGATTTATTTAATGTTTTTGTAATATAGGCCAAAGCAAATATTCATGAAACCTGTTACTTTTCAAATTTTCCTCATGGTTTGAAACATTTTACTTTGGCATTATTCCCATTTGAAGCCAGGCCTACTGTGCTTTAGTACCCATAAAAATCCTACTGGGATCCGTAATAGCTTGGTTTTTCCCTAATGTTTTTGTGTAATTTTGCTGCTTTTGAATTTTAAATAAATGCAAGGACTACATTCTATTACATATTTTAGTCCAATATTTCCCCCCCTTTTCAGTTATAAATTAGCCAACTTTACTTTTTCCAGAAATATAACGGATAGAAAGTTTTGAAGAAGTTGTTAAACCTGTGAATACCAGTTGTGATAAGAAAAAGAAAATGGGATAGTTGAGCAGTTTGTTTTTTCTCTCCTTCTGGTTCAGTCATAACTGATTCTTGGAAGCTACCCGGGCAAGCCCCTAAAGTTTTCTTGCAAAGCTTTTTCAGAAATGGTTTGCCATTGCCTCCTTCTTAGGACTGAGAGAAGGTGACTGGCTCATGGTCACCCAGCTGGTTTTGTGCCTAAGGCAAGACTAAAACTCACTTTTTTGATCTGAAGCCTGATGTCTTTACTACTGCACCAAAACAATTCTCAATTTCTTACTGCATCCAAAAAGCAGAAAATGTAATGAATAGCAAATTCTGTGTAAACCTGGAGAAGAGTCAAAAGATTTTTTAGAACTTTTGTACACATGAATTTGAATATGTATTTATTTAGTTACGGTTAATAATTAGGCTGCCTTAAATAGATTCCATAGTCTTGACATGTCTTGGTCCTCCAGAGTTTCCGTCTAAGGATAGAGTTCTTACGGATGTACTTTCAAATATGCACAGGGTTCCTTTGAAATGAATAACGGGTCATGTCCAAAGGATGAAATAACTGTACATACCTTTCACATGATACATGGATTTTTATATGTTCAATCATCCTACTTGGGTATTATGGAAAAAAATACCAGTTTCTTGTTCTTTGGTTCTGATGTATGCAAAATTTGGTTCTCAGAGCTCTCAAAACCTGATTGTTTTGGTTGAAGAAATAAAATATTGAATGACCTTATAGCAGGGGTCGCCAACCTTTAGGACCTCAGAGACCACCAAACTCATACTTTTAAATCCTGCAGACCAGAGACCCTGGGAAAATCCCCCAAAAAAGCCAGCAGGAAAAATCCCCACCCCTTCTTCTTACCAATCAATCATTCTTTATTTGGGATTGCAGGATGCCATCTCCAGCTCCGTTCTCGGGGGGTGGGGGGAGAAACTTTTGGCTTCATGCAAGGAAAGCAGCAGAAATAGCAGAAGTCTTTCTTTCTCTCCCCCAAACTCCGCCAGAAATGAGTCCTTGCGGGAGCAGCCTCTTGGAACAGGATACCTTGCAGGGTCCCAAAGACTTGTCTCTGGCGGAGTTTGGGGGAGAGAAAGACAGACTTTTGGTGCTTTCCTTGCGTGCAGCCAAAAGCAGAAGCGGAAAGCAGCAGCCTGGTGGCCAGGCAAGGCATGTGGGGTGAGTGGGGCAAGTACCCCCCTCAGCCCTTTCCCCCCTCCCCTCACTACCTTATGTTGTTCGCAATGCAAGTGATGCAAGCCTTGTGTGGAAACAGCCTGGATTAATTGCTTTGGAGGTTACATTTCTCTGTGGACCACCAAAATTTTCTCACGGACCATCAGTGGTTCCTGGCCCACTGGTTGGTGACCACTGCCTTATAATACATTGAACTTTTATCAGTTCTTAGTAAGAATTTGAGTCTGGATAGTGAAATGACACTGATTACACTTGTCAATGACTTTGGAAGGCTCAGGATGGAGATGGTACAACCCTGGACCTCTCAGTGGCTTTCAGTATCATCAACCATAGTATCATTTTGGACCAGTTTCAATGTTACAATGGGTTATACTCCTTCCTCCATGACCAGTTCCAGTTGGTGCTGATAGGGGATGGAAGGGGACGGGAAGTCCCAACAATATGGACTATCCCAGAGCTCAAGTATTTTATCACTATTTTTTAGCATCTACCTGAAAGGGGAGGCCATACGTTGGCATAGGGACCAATATCATCAATATGCAGATGATACTCAATTATACCTCTCCAACCCTAGCCGGAAAGATGATGCTGTGGTAATAGCAATAGCACTTATATATACCAGTTTATAGTGCTTTACAGCCCTCTCTAAGCTGTTTACAAAGTCAGCCTATTGCCCCAACAATTTGGGTCCTCACTTAACCCACCTCGGAAGGATGGTGGTCTGAGTCAACCTTGAGCCTTGTGAGATTCGATCTGCCAAATTTCAGGCAGACGGCTGTCAGCAGTGGTAGCCTGCAGTACTGCACTCTAACCAGTGAGCCACCAAGGCTCTATTGTAGGTTGGTTTGTAGGTTATAAAGGCCTGGATTGGGAGGAACTGGCTTCAACTCAACTCTAGCAAGATGGGATTTTGCTTTTCCAGGTCCAAATTATACATATCTTTGACTGTTGATGGGGTGGCACTTTTACAAACCTGATCTGGTGTGCAATTTGAGGAGCAGATAGCAGATGTGGCTAAAAGGGCTTTTGCAAAAATCCATCTAGTGTGCCTACTGCAGCCTTTATTGAACCAAGAGGCTGTGCTCATAGTCACTCATGTCCTGGTCACCTCCCAGTTGGATTACTCTAACATAGTCGATGTAGGGCTGCCCTTGCAAACCACCCAGAAGCTTTAACTGGTCTAGAATGCAGTAGCATGCACAATAATGGATGTCCCTAACAACATTATTTTGTTTCTTTCTGGATACAATTCAAGGTGCCGATCATCTCCTTTAAAACTCTTTATGGCACAGGGCAAGGTTATCTGCAGGACTGTCTTTCCCTAAAGACATCTACCTGTCTTACCAGGTGAGACAGGGTGGTCATGCTTCAATCCCTTCGCTTAAATATTACTACCTTATGGGAGCTAGGCTTTTCCATGACAGCCCCTGCCCAATGAAACAGTCTGGCCTCTGAAATTCAGCAGGCCTCTACCCTCTTAGCTTTCTGTAAAGCTTTGGAGACTAGCTTTAGCTCCCAAGTGGTTGGATAAGATGAGGTGATTGTACATCAGAAGTTTGACTTGGTTCCAGGTTTTCATTTTAAATGTAGTTTTTATAATTTTAATATTGTTTTTATTTTTCATTTTATTTATTTGTATCCTGTCTTTATTATTTTTACAAATGAGGCAATGAACATACCCAACTTCTTCCTCCTATTTTGCCTAAAACAGTAACCCTGTATGGCAGGTTGGGTTGAGAGAGTGACAGGCCCAAAGTTACCCAGCAGAGTTTCTTAGCTAAGGCGGGGTTTGAATTCAGTCTCCTGATTTTTAGCCTTTTCTAGCCTTAACCACTAGACCAAATATGGCTTTAATGGTGTCTTAACTTTTGACTGGGAGCCTCCTAGAATTGATAATAAGATAAGCAGCTATAGAGATATTATAAATAAATAAACACATTTACAAGAAATTAAACCTCATAAAATGTTAAATTATCTTACAGATTTAACATGATTTACCCATCCCAAAATGATTTCATTCCAAATGATAGCTTATTTAAATACTGTACAATTGTATTATATAAATAAACAAATAAACATGGAGATCTGGACAAAAGATGATTGGATATACTAACTTGTGATTATTTTCTGAAAATGTTTTTACCATATATTTCATTAAAAAAAAACCTAATTGTAAAATTCCTACATGGAATAAGCAAATGTATTCTCAGAATTCATGCTGAACAAGAATAGCCTGTTGGTAATCAGAATAGCTGATCATTTGATTATGTGATAGATTTAATGGTAACATTACATATAGTATTAGAAATCTATTTGTTATAATATAAAAATTATAACAAAAACATTTATCATTCCAGCAGGTTACATACATACAAATTCATTTTTTAAACTAACTAAAAAACTAAGCATTATATATAAATATTATCAGTAACTTAGTATGCTGAATTACATATACAAAGTTCAGATTTCATAAAACCAATACAACTCTTAGCGCTGAATGATCATGCTTCCTCTGACTGTTGGAGTAGCAGTAGCTCGTTCTCGTTCTTTTGCAATTTCCAACTCAATTTTAGCTTTGATTTTATCCCAGTTAACATCAAGCTGCAAAATCAAGAGGGAGGGGGGAAAAAAAGAAAAATATATTTTTTATCTGGGCAGGGGAAAATTTATGAGTGTGCTTTTGTTGTGCATACATGTATCTGGGGTTTCCTTAGCCCAAGAAGATTGTTTAGGCTTGCTCTGATTCTGCATTTTACCTTTGGTTCAAAATTCTTCTTAATTTTAAGTTAGGGAGAAAATACTAGTATTATGATAGAAAAGACTAAATTAGGTACAATAAATACAACCAATCCTCAGGTTATGATAACAATTGGGACTGGAATTGCCATCATTAGAATTGCCATCACTAAATGATGCAATTGTAAAATGCAACCTCACATGATCCTACAACTTAGTAGGATCCCGGCAGTCTTGGTAGCTGTTGTAACCTCAAGATATGTGGATCATTAAGCGGGAAGCTGCAGGAGTCTCAGATAAGAAGTAGATGATGCTATAAGGTATGGGAGAAGCCAGGAAGAGATCTGGGAATGGGGGGCGGGGAGGTCTGGTATAAGCCACATGTGAACTGAAAGCCAGGTGTTACCTGACAGACTTGGCATCAGCGGCACATGACTCAAGGGAAGCTGGGGTGGGTTTGGGAGACCCAGTGCATGCCATGTACAAATCTAGGAACAGTATGACCAGGGCAGGAGCTTGTGAATTGAGAGAAACTAGAAGAGAGCTCTGGCATCCCAGCACAGATTGTGCATGTTGAGGGAGGCCTTAGAGGACCGGTGGAGGCTGTGTACCAGTGGTGGGGCAGCTATAGTTGAAAGCAACTGTAGGTTATCAGAGTAACTTGCAACTTTCCTTGCCAATTTCCCCTTTATTTGTGTGAAGATGGGAAGGTAGGAAAAAACAATTATGTGATTGTGGTTCCCTGCAAAATCAAAATTGTGAGCCAGACATCGGGATTACAATCATGTGATTTTGGGGATGGTGTGATGGCCAGAAAATCAGGGACCAGTTATAAATACATTTTTCAATGTCACCATAACTTTGAATGATTGCTGAACAAATGGAGATAGGCTAAGGACTACCTACACATAACATGAGATTTTGATTTTTTTTCCCCACACAGCACTTTGAACCTTACAGCACAGAAAAGAATGCTGGAAAGGGAGTTGCTAAAATGGCTAGTAAAAAAACAATAAAAGGCAGTTTGTGTACTAATCTATATAATTAATATTCTATTGTTAAATTTACATACATACATACATACATACATACATACATACATACATATATATTCTACACACACACACACACACACACACACACACACAGATATATGCCAAATAAACACAAGGACTATAAGTTACACATTACATTGTAGTTATGTTTGTTTAAGCTTTATATGAGTTTGAGCTGTAAATTAAGTCCTATTAAAAAAAAAGATGCCCTTTGCTACCCAATAACTGAAATCATTTTGTGTGTGTATCCTGTAACTAACAATAGTTCATCCTGATACATATTTTTCAAGATGTAAAATCTTTAAATATCTATAATTGCAGATCACTATATTTGTAATCTACTACAAGTTTATTCTTATCTGAAATCTTTTTTTTCCTAAACTATTAGAACAGTCTTGATAGTCACTGTGGGGGACAGTGACAATGTCACTTCTTCTCTATGGCTCACTAAGATGGGAAAAATTCAGAATCCAGCAAATGTCTTCAGACTTTTGTGGTAAATGTAATTGAAATGTATTTGTTATAAGTTATTATATAACTACTTATGAATAATATTTGAGCAACTTCTTTAAAGAACTCCAATTTATGAAACACTGCATACATAGTTATAAGACATGAGTGAAATAAAATAGCCATTAGTGATGTATTTTTCCCCTCAAGTACAGTACTGTAGTATTTATGCATTGTAATAAGCTTTTTTTCTCATCTACTATATATCCTGTAACAATGTACATTTTGTTTACAAATAAAACTGTGCAAAATATATTAATTAGTTCAGCAAGAAATTGCTTCAACCGTAAGGTGCTGATTTTAACAATCCAAATGTCAATTGCAGATAAACTCAGCTGGTGAGAATGGACTAGAGAATATTATCTTCTTCAAGGAATCACAGTTTTAAAAGGACATAAAGTGGATTCAGAAGAGAGCTACTAAGGTGATAAGGGGTCTAGAAATCAAGGAGCTGAATGCAATCCTTTTCAAAAGAGAAGACTAAAATAATCACACTGCCCTTTGTATTTATTTATTTTGTGGATGTTTTTACTGTTTTTAATTGTTTCATCATTTTAGAATGTAAGCTGCTGAGAGTCACTTGGTTGAAATTTGGCAGCTACAGAAATTGAATGTCAGTAAGTAAATAAGTAAACAAACAAACAAAAGCAATCTTACAAATATCTAAAAAGCAATCACATGCATAAATGGTGAGGCGTCCTGTTTTCTCTTGAAACTGAGAACAGAAAAATGATCAGTAGGTTGCAATTAAAAGAAAATAAAGGAGATTCAGTTTGAATACTATGAAGAATTTCCAGATGGTAAGAACAGTTAAGTAGAGGAACAGATTGCTTATAATAATGCTGGGGGTTCTTTAGTTCCCCATGTGGAAGGTTTTCAAACAAGGATTGGACAGCACCCTTCCAGAGATGTGTTAGATCAGTGGTTCCAAAAGTGGGCGGTACCGCCCCCTGCGGGCCGGTGGGATGCCTTAGGGGGGCACTAAGAGGCAAGGGGGGCTGAGGCAAGAGATGCCAGAGGGGTGCTGGAGGTGGGCCCCTCACAGGGCGCAATTCACGGGTGGGATTCTACCAGTTCATTACTGTTCCCAGTAGTTGGAGAACCAGTAAAACGAGCCCCTGCCTAGCCTGCTCCTCTCCGCCTGCTCCTCCGTTCCCTGGCCAGTCAGTCCTTATTGCGCATATGTGACTTCGTGTGCATGGGCAACGATCGCTGATGGCCACAGCGGTCTAGCTACACTGAAAAAAACGTGATGGCTGGAGGTTTTTTGCAGGCACAGGGGATCAGCGCAGCACTGCAGGAGGGATTCACTCTTCCCATCCCAGAAGTGCTGCCTGCACCGAGCCGCAACAGGTCCCCACCTGGGCTGGGTCAAGCCAGCTGCAAGGTCTCCCACCGGCTGGTGAGATGGACCAGCGGCAGGGCGGTTCTCCTGGCCTGGTCCGCCACTGCCTCCGAGTCATCCAGAAAGCTCAACAAGTGACGCCCAGGGCCACGGAATGAGAGAGATGGAAAGCCGGACTTCTTCCCAGCACCACCCAGAGCCCTCTGGCAGCGGCTGGAGATAAAGCCTCCTCCGCAGGTGGGAGAAGGGGGTTCTCTCGGGGGCCAATGGTGGGGTGCGAGGAAAGCAAGACATGCACGCACCCTAGTTATACCAAGATTTCCAACAAAAAGGCAGCCAGGTTTTGAAAAGCAAAGGAAAACCTCTGGCTTTCACGCTAAATCATGGTTAGCTGAGTTAACCTAATTATCTGGGTTAGGTAACCTATTAACCATCCTGATAGTTTAGGTTTGCATTGTAAAATTACACCAAATTTTAAGTTGTTAGCCACACCTTCAGCATCTCCAGTTTACACCGGGCTAGATTTCAAGATGCATGGTAGAGTGGCATTGAGAGTTGGGCAGCAGCATTCAAAGTTCATAAATTATTATTGATCACAGAAAGAAAGGGGTATATAAGAAATATCTTCTAAAGATGGTGACATTTGTACTGTACAGTATAGTATTTTCGCGTACTCCTTCCATCTTTGTTTGATCTCCTTTCAACTGTTTACCATCCGTCCATTAGCATCCTTTACTAGCCAATTTGCTGCAAAGAATCACAAAAGTTTCTGTGCACAAGAAGGGACACACATGTCAATGCAATTCAGCAACATAAAATAAAGAAATACAAATAAAACAAATCAACAATTCACTACTAGAATCTAATCACAGATGCTTTGCCAATTCTATTCCAATGACCTGCTCTAGCAGAGTTAGAAGGGTGTGTGTGTGTGTGTGTGTGTGTGTGTGTGTGCACGCGTGCATGGCTGTCAAAACTCCAAAAAATAGGTCAAGTAGCTCTGGGGAGGCTAGTTATAAATTAGAACACTTGCTAAGCAATCAGCCATTAAGTGAGGACCACTTGTATTTCGTTTGCCAGTCACCTGGCCACAACCACTCAGTCATGTGACCACCAAACCACACCTACCCGGTCACGTGACCACCAAGCCAAGCCCAGCCAGCAAGCCATTCCCCCAGCCAGTCACGTGACCAAGCCATGCCCACCCAGTCACATGATCAGCAAGCCACACCCCCAAATTAGGCCATGCCCACAGAAATTTGACTCCCACCACTGGGTGGGGGGCACCAAGGATGAGTTTGTAGCATCAAAGGAGTGGTAGACTGAAAAAGTTTGGGAACCACTGTGTTAATAATTCCTGCACTGATCTATATGCTTTTATCTAAGTTATACAGTATATTCTGATTTTACAAAATACATATACTTTGTAGAACAGAAGGAAAAACAGAATATTGTAGCCCATTTTCTTTTATAATGATCTCAGTTTGATGAATTAGTTAATTTTTTAAAAAAATTACTAAATGACCAAATCCCAAAAACTAGCTAAACCATGAATGAAGTTCTTTGGGTTCAAGAACGTGTTATATTTTTCCCTCTGTGATAAACTTGCAATCACATGAGAATTTGATTCTGAAATAAAATTATTTGGATTTCAGCTATCTTCCTTGCCAACTGTGTATTATGGCTCTAATTCCATCAAATATGGCATGATAGCTGCTGTGATTTCAAAGCCATATGAGGCTTTTCTTTTCCACAACTATTTTATCTTAATTCAGGGGGCTGTTTCTCTGATTTATTATGATATATTCAAAACTTGCCAGATACTACTGGCTCAGCTAAGTCCCATATGACAGTATTCTAAGTTTCTATCTTATTATGCAAAGGAGTGTGAACATTATGGTGCAGCTTGCCAAAAGCAGCATATGATTTTCAAATAAAACTCAGTTTCCCTTAGAGAAGTTTTAATAAGCTAATCAGCATGTCTACTGTTGTAATGTTTCCTCAGAATGTCACATCTGAATAAGCTAAGACAGCATCTTTCACTGGATTAGCCTGTATTGGTGAAATCATAAACCTGAAAGCTTTAGCAGCAAACACCCCCTCCTCTTAACATTTGTCTTTTCCTATAAAATAAAAATTCTATACCTATATTATCTAAATCTACAGTATTTCCACAGTATGATTTTCATAACTGTAAAGAGATATCCCCTAACATACTTTGGCCCTATTCCATCCATGCTAATAACTGAGCCTGAGTGGAAATCCTGAAAAAAAATCAAGTTGTTGATTTTGTTTCATACTGTGAATTAAAGTACAAGCACACAGTGTCATTAAATACACATTGGCTTACAGTCTGAAATTGTTTCATAGCTATAAGGCAGAGTTTCAAAAAATATAACTCAACTTCCATAGAATACTTGCCCTTTCTGCATATTGCAAAAATCGCTGATTCGTTTCTTTTTTACTGAAGTCATCCAAGTACTTTTGTCGGTAAGCCAGCACTGTGTCAACGTGCGTCTTGTGTTTCACAGCAAGTTCTAGTGCTCTAGAAGAAAGCAAAACAGCAATAAGCTCATCAGGCCGAATTCAGAAACTAAAATGATCACAAATGTCTTGGTTTTATAAATATGCACACTGTATAGCAACTGCACTAAGGAAACAATTTTTTATCATAAAACAAGAAGAAACCAAGCATTAAGGCTAACAACAATTGCTTTAAATGAAAACTAGTTTCCCCATTAAATAAGTTCATATGTGTTTTCTAATTATATTAATCTATATTTTTCTGGCAAATAGTGGTCTTTGTAATTGTTGGATGGTCTAAAGAAAAGTAACAATCTTCATACCAGTGAACAATTCTGGTGAACCTTTTTGCTTTTCTGTCCCACTTTCATGGTATCTTACTAAAATGGACAATAGTTCAATTAAAAAGTATTCCCAGTTCCTACTCTTATGATTATGCACAATAAGAATATGCAAATCAGAACATTACAATCATCACAAAAATTTCCTATCCATGAAACTTTAGACTGGAAACCTTCAAATTTGGCTCTCAGCCTTCTAAAACAGTAACCAATAAAACAATTACTGCTTTGCATCAAGAAGACCTGATATTAGTACAGCTATCAGTAACATTTGTTTTCTTTGAAGGACCAGAAACGAAAACCTCATAACCAGTGGTGGGATTCAAAATTTTTTACTACCTGTGGGCGTGGCTTGGTGGGCGTGGCAGGGAAAGGATACTGTAAAATCTCCAGTCAGAGGTGGTATTTGCCGGTTCTCCAAACTACTCAAAATTTCCGCTACCGGTTCTCCAGAACTGGTCAGAACCTGCTGAATACCACCTCTGCTCATAACGTATCAGTCTTGTTGAAACTGAACATGTATAAGCTTAGGCAGTGTCAAAATGAGACACTGCTAAGAAAATCTAAGTATGTTGGGGGTTGGTATGCATTTTGTCAGTTAATAAATAGCATGTTACTTTCCATTGTTAACTTATGTCACGTTCATTATAGAATATTGCTCCATATTTATAGATATAGTATTGCTCCATATTTATAGATTGGCACAAAATCAGAAGTTTTAGAGAAGAATAAGGCTACCTTTATGATATTGGAGAGATTTCACAGGTGGCATTTTTAGCATGGAGGTTTATGTTAGGACAATCCTGAAAATCAAAATCTTTCTAAACTCAGGATAATTTCTTTCTAAGGGAATAAACCTGAAGGAGTGAAGCAGTGAGCCAAAGAACTACTACCCCCTCAAAAAATACATTTTAGGTGCCTTCCTTATCTGGGTTTTAGCCATGTGAGTAACATGCATAATCAGGAATACATGGAGCTAATGTACTGATGTTATAATCAGGTACAAAAGCTTTTTTTTAAAAAAAAAATCTGTGTAACAAATTAGGGCTGGGGTCTGTGCTTCTTTATCAACATGGTATATTACAAATGTTGATGTATGTTACATCAACATATTCAATTCTGAAAGAAAAAAATAGGACTTGGAATGAGATAAAATCATGTAAGTTATCATTCAAACCAGGGTTTCTCAACTTTGGCTGCTTGAAGATGTGTGGGCTTCAACTTCCAGAATTCCCCATCGCAGAGCTGGCTGGGGAATTCTGGGAGTTAAAGTCCACATATCTTCAAACTCCTTGGTTGATAAACACTGATTTAAATTGTTAAAACCAAATCTGAACCAAGACAAAAATATATAATGTAATACATTATATAAGAACTGTATTACCTTTCCCAGTTGTATAGATTAATATTAACTTGAATTGCCTGGTAAATAAGCCCAGCTTGCAGAAGCAAAGTTTCAGCATCCTGGACATTTCCACTAAAAAGCAGAATATGAGCCATTCTTGATTCCTTTGATGGAAGATCTTTGATGGAACTGATATACTGAACTTTATCAATCTGTTGTTTTTTTAAAAAAAAAAAATGTGATAGGCACAGTAAACTTGGTTAAACTCTAGTTTTGCAATAAGTTAAATAATGCAGCAAATGCCAAGAGTCCTTTAAATTGCAACAGGTTAGCATGAAATATTATCAATCAATTGTTGAAAGTTATTAAGTAGTGAACCGTTCTACTTACCTCGCCAACTGATGCATAGGCTATTTCTGCTGTGTTCATATCTTTATTGGCTATTGCCATAGCAGCTAAACAAGCCCATAATGTTTGATCCTGAAAAGAAAATATTAAAATAACTGTTCTTCTTATAGAATATAAACATTAATCTTATGCCAACTTGATATTAATGTAATTTAACCACTTCCTAAGAATCAATGGGCTACCAATGTTCTTATACATTTATAGTGCAGTGTGTTCCCAGATGTACACATTTAATAAAGAAAAAACTAGAATATATAAATCATGTACATAAAACACATAAAATAGTCTAACTATACTATAACTACAGAGTTATAGACTCTATAACTATAGAGTCGCTTCTCATAACATAAAGACAAACATTTAGATAGCATTATAAAAGAGAATATATGTAGCTCAGGTTTGAACTGTGGAATCCTTGGTGCTCTCTGAGATTGGTTATTTGTTTGCAGATATTTCATTACCTAATTTCATTAAGTAACATCTTCAGTGTTAGAAAGGAATGAATTTTGCTCGCTGTTTATATATTGTAATTTGCTCTACCAGTGTTTGTGGGAATGTTGTTTTCTCTGTGGTAGTTTCTTGATAAAGCTGGTTTTTAATGCTTGTTTGTTTTTCTGAGTTGGTAATTTCTTGAGTAGGAAATGATTTGCTTCACTGGTTGTGTGGTGTTAATTCTGAAAATAATCCCTGATTATCAGGCTGTTGGAAACTAACAAGGATATTCATCATTGGTATTTATTTGCTCTCATTATAACAAATACACAATTTAATAAATGTAAGTGAATCAAAATTAACTGAGATACAGAATATTTCTATTTACTTAACTAGCATTTTTCCAGAGCAACTGGGTACTTGTGGCAGATATCTACAGTGGGATTCTACCTGGTCGGACTGGTTTTACAGAAGCAGTTGTTACGATTCTGCGCAGTTTGGAGAACCACAAATCGCGCCACTGGCTGGCTCCGTCTGCCCTCCCATTCACTCCTTATCTGCCATGTGTGCCATCCAACTTACCTGCATTGTGCCTTCGCCTAATTTTTGGTAAGTTGCTATTTTTCTGTTCCCCCCCCACCGACCATCAGCTGTTCAGATATCAGCTGTGCCAGGTGATTTAGATTAGCTAGAAAGCAGGAAATCGTTGGATTTCTTGCTTTCTAGCTAATCTAAATCACTGTACTGCTTTACCTTCGCCCAGGAGACTTCCCTGAGGCACAGTCAGGGGTGGTATTCAAGGGGTGGAAGGGAGAAGTAGCCTGAGAGCAGAGCTGAACCTTCCTTAAGCTTCTGTTTTTCAGTGCAGACTCAGGTAGCAGACTGCAGAAAGGTAGATCTGTAAGTGAATCTGTTATTCAGTGAGCAACTCAATCTGCCTGCTTGCTTTGCCTGATTTTGTGTAAAAGTTGCTCTTTTTTAATTAAAAAAAAATCAATATTTACATACATAGTGTGTTGTGAGTTAATTTTATGAGTTTCCTTGCTGGCAAATTATATGAGTTTGCTTGCAAGCAAATTTTATGTGACAGACTCAGGCAGCTGATTGCAGACAGGTAGATCTGTAAGTGAATCTGTGATTCTGTGAGCAACTCAATCTGCCTGCCTGCTTTGCCTGATTTTGGGTAGAAGTTGCTCTTTTTTTAAATAAAAAATTCAATATTTACATAAATATTTACAAACAAGCCACATCCAGCCAATCATGTGACCACCAAGCCATGTCCAGTCAGCAAGCCATGTCCACCCAATCACATGACCACCAAGACACACCCACAAATTAGGCCATGCCCACAGAACTGGTTGTTAAGAAATTGAATCCCATCCCTGTCTATAGTTCATTATCATTCAGTAAACACAGGAAATATAAATATATAATATTGTCAGATTACTTAAAGTAATACACCTTTTGGCCCAATTTGTTCCTTGCAGCTTTCTAAGAGGATGGGGGAAGAAGAATGAAAAAGGCATGAAAGAGAGAAGGAAACTGCTCCCAATTGTCTTTATGGTATACGCAAATGAGTTAGCTACTTTAATCATTTCAAAGGGGATGCTTTCTTGTAAAGAAACCTGATGGAATGTAATATCAAGAGAAAACTATCCCTGCGTGTTCTTGTGTTTTTGCTTTAAAATAAGAGATTTACAGAAACATCATATATGATAAATATCTAGGAAACTGGAAAGGTAATGAAGAAAATATTTTTCTAAAAAAAGAACCAAATAAATATTCTTGCCATATCGGTAACCACAGAGGATCCAGCAAACTGCTCAGTTTGCTTTCTTTTTTGTATTCATTTTGCACCTGCTACAAAACTACTGTACGTGTTGCTAGGAGATGCAATGCACTAGTGCACTGTAATAAAAAGGCTATTCTTGAAGGAAGAAAGAAGGAAGTTATGATAAGCAAGCGACTATTGTATGTTCCTTTTTCTTCTATCCTTAAATGACTGTTCTTATGTACAGAAATCAGAATGCAAATAGTGTTACGATAATAGCCAAACCTACAGCTAAGCTGCTCAGAAATGCATACATAACTCTCTGGTGGCAAGTATAATCAGAAAGGCAGCCAAATATTAAAGTGTAAGAAAATGTCTCCAGTTTATTAGCAAAGAACAGAGAAACATATTTTGAAATATATTTGAAGTTGAGTACTGTTAACAGTTTGAGGCAGAGGAAAGTACAGGTAGTCCTCAACTTTGGACCACAATTGAGCCCCAAATTTATGTTGCTGAGACATTTGTTAAGTGAATTCTGCCCCATTTTACGATCTTTCTTGCCACAGTTGTTAAGTGAATAATTGCAGTTGTTAAGTTAATAACACAGTTGTAAAATGAATCTGGCTCCCCCATTGGCTTTGCTTGTCAGAAGACTGCAAAACTTGATCACATGATCCTGGGACACTGCAATTATCATAAATATAAACCAGTTGCCAAGTGTCTGAATTTTGATCATGTGACCACTGGGATGCTGCAAAGGTCATAAGTGTGAAAAACGGCCATAAGTCACTTTTTTCAGGATAGTTGTAACTTTGAATGGTCACTAAATGAACTTCTGTAACTTGAGGACTACCTGTAGAAGATACAGTATGCATAGTTTTTCTAAACAGTAGGTCCCTTTCAGTGCATCACAAGTCAGGCAAATAAAATTACCTTGGAAAGCATTTTATGATGGAGGTCTGAAGGGATTATTGCATTACTATAATCTGTATTTTAAAATGAAAGAAGTCACATGTCTCTCCCCCCATTAACCTTTTCTAAAAGTTAACATTATATTTACCTTGACAAAGCGACACAATCTGATGGCATCTTCCCATTTCAAATTGTTCACATATTCATGAAGAATAGCTGGATATGGTGAAATACTGATGTGAATAAGTGAACCATCAGCTCTTCTAATTGTTACCTGATTGCCAACAAAACTTAAGATCTGGGGACTTTTACTAAATTCACTATTGGAAAAAAAGAACACAGTTCAGAAACATTATTTTAGAATGAATGTAGGTTGGATAGAATACTGATGAAATAGACAGACAGTCCATTTAAAATAACAATTATGATTTATTTCTGAGTATGCACTGATCATGGTAAAAATAAGACTGGACACTTCACTCCAGTTCTGCTAATCTATAATTTACAGACTAAGGAATAATTTACAGCCCAATTTTTATATATTGTTTTTTTAATTGTTCAGTTCAAAAGATTCTGGAGGTTTATATTCTGAAGTGCCATATTTAATAAACTTGGCAACTGATAAGTTAGGTATTTCTCTATTATGTATAACCAATGGTTTATATGCATGTCCCTGCCCCTAAACTCCATTTACAGCCTTCAAACAAAATGGCCAATTTTGGTTATATGATTTTGGGTATATATGTAAAAAAGCTAAAAAAAAGTGTTGAAATTCTGCAAAGCAAAATGCATTTCAATTGCATACTTTATCTAAACCTCAGAAACAAAGTTAAACACAGCTAAAATTTGCTGGCATTCAATGGCCTGATTTTTGGTGTCAAAGTGCCAAAATGAGGCTGGAAATGTCTAAACTTCTGCAAGGCAAAATGCACGTATTTCTAGCCCCCACCCCCCACCCCTCCCCCCGTCCAAAATAGAGAACTGTCAGGTTTAATTTTTTTGACCAAAACCTGAAGAACTGTTAAGGTCTTCTGGCTCCTCAAATAATTTGAAATATCAGGTTGGAAATTGTTGTTTGCCTATGTCATAGAGTCTCAGTCTCCAAGATCAGATTAAAAAACATTTTATTAGAGAAAGCTATCAATGGAGTATAAATCAAATAAGAAATACCTTGCATCCTTTTCATAGAGTGTTTTTGGCAAGAGATCCTTGTCTACATACACTACATTGGGATAGTACCAGACTGTGAAACGTGTATCCTGCAGACCACATAGTATGTTGCATGTGTCATTCCATGCCAGAGTATGCACCATTGTTCCTTAACAAAAAAGAAACCAAATAAACTAAATATCTGTCAACTAAACTGGATGAATAATCTATTCAAGCCTACTGCTCAAGACTGCAAATAATATCATCAACTTTTCTCTCCTGGTATATTATTCTGAATAATATATTTCTGTTTTCAGTATAAAATGTTTACATAATTACTTGTCTTGAAAGATTAAAACAATATAAGCAAGCTGAAGTTGATTCCATGTAGAGGCTACTGAAACTTTTCATTGATTATATATGCATGTGCTCTTTTTTTCCCTTTAAATGTGCTTGCTGTTCCAGTTGCTTCTTTTTACCTATTTTTTGACTTACTGTATGACTTTTAGACTTTTAGAAGAAGCAGTAGTTGGGTAAACCTGCAAGATTTGCTTATGCTCCTTCTTTAACTATCTTTACACTGTATCTTCACAAAATGATAAATATTTCAACTATGTAGATGTTGCATAAATTATGTTAAACTGGGCTCATTTTTTTTCAAGTTGGGATTTTTATTGTATTATTTATTTTCATAAGGCATTTTTTCTCTGAGCTAGGTAAGCCAGATTCACATTATACAGTCATACACTGCTAACATCTGAAAACTTGCTACTGCTAAGATTTTGAGTATTGTTAAATAGGTAAATAATTCAATTCCGATCAATGATTGCCACATAGATGATGCATCACTGACTTCACTGACACTACAGGTTTGATCTTGGGGTGTCTAATTTATTGAGGGGATCCAGAGATTAACTTACTGCAAATAAATTCTAAACAAGAAACAAAACACATTTAGGTGTTTTTGCATTACACTCTCAATGTCATTCTTTCTAAGAACAAATTATATTCTACAAATTACATATAATCAATAAAACAAATTTTAGAACACTGTTAAATTGCATGGGGGTTGGGATAAGCCAGTTCTTACCTATTTTGATAATTTTCTGTTCTTTTCCAAATCTCTTCACGGAAGTTATATAAAGATCTCTATTTTTGTCAATAAAAGCCATTTTCCTTTCATTTGTAAGACCCTTCTGATCTAAGGCAATTTCCACAATTTCTGTCTGTAACAATATTTGAATCAAAACCCATATTTGTATCAAGGCAAGATTTTTTTGCAGTATTAAAGATTTGTATTCTCAAATCTGTTAATATTGCTAGTATATAGTACAATATTATCAATTAAAAATTTACTTATGCTTACTGCTATAACAAAGTAAGAATAATTGTGTGAGAGTTGGGCAGCCATATAAATTAATGTAATTAATAAAACAACAGATAATTTAGAAAATATGTGTTCTTATAATACAATGGTAGAAGTAATGTAAATGCCATTGTTAGAAGATGATCTAAAGTGGGAAGTACAGATTTTCCACCTAACACATCTATATTTTATTTCTCAATCTTTCTTCCAATGGAACTAAATGTAGCTCAGAGCCACATCAAATGGGAATGGAAAGAAATTTTTTAGAAAATAAAGAATTATTAATCCACAAATTTAAAACTACTGTACGTCGTCCTCCTTAAGTCAGAGCTACTATTTAAATATTTCACATGGATTCAGAGAACTTCATGCATGATTAAATGGGTTTTCCTCATTTCAAAAAGAAAATTCTTTTATTACTATGAAAAGATTAAAATGACATGACATGTTCCAGTTGAACATTTGTGTCATGTGATTACAGTAACAAAGTTTTATTCAAATAAAACTTAATATCTTAATGTTATTTTATAAGAACAAGAACTGTGAAAAAAGATGCCAAATTCTTAATGTTTTATTGGCTTGAGCAATATCAGCTTTCAATCAGCTTTCAATCCTTGCTTCTGATTCTTACTAATAATTTTTAAAAACGTCTTCCTGCAACTCAGTCTCAGAGTAAGCATCAATGAACACAAGTGACTTCTTAATAATCATATAACACACAGGAATCTGCTCAGACTTATCTGATTTCAAACTGAAATATGCTATGATAATAGAAAATAGAATCTGGGTAAAATTTTACTCAATGCCAGTAACAGCTTAATATAAAGTAAGTATACTTTTTTCCAATATAAATACAGAAATAATAAACATTATTTACCTTATGACTAAGAGGTTTTCCATCTCCTAATGGTTTGCCAGATAAAGGTTCAAACAGATCAATAACTTTAAAAAAATAGATGAAAAAACTGATTATTATAAATATATAGATATCATATTTTCAGAGATACCTATAATGATTTATATAGTACAGAAAAGTATCAAATGGAGACCCTTCCAGATTGATTTAATAAATGCATTTAACAGTTCAAAAAAGAACACTGATAACTTTTACTGTGTAGTTGGTACAAGAGTTAAGTCATATTCTTTTGAAACATTCTTGCTAGTAATCTAGCAATTTATCTTTCTTTATCTCAATCTAGCAAACAGTAATTTCTATTCTTCTATTCTTCTTTTCAAGGGATAAAATGTTGTATAACTTTGATTCAATTTAGTATCTTCATAACTCTACCATTTTCCTAGCTGAGATGTAAATCCTCTGATGAGGAACAAAATAATGCTGAGGCACACAGGAAGGCTCAGGTCCAAGTAACAGTTGAGTATCGGGTCTCACAGTCCCTGAGTCTGGCCTCATAGATTCTAACTATAAAACCACCATCTCCTTCAAGCGGATGGTCAAAGAGCTGGAAGCTATGGTACAAATATGGGTAGACCTTAGCTGATGACTAACTGAACTTGAAATTAAGGACATAGGTCATGATGGCTTCATGTGGATCATCATATTGCACCCAGTATTTTACAGCAGACATTAAGCGAACCAGTGATCATAAAATGAACACAGTAGTTGTTAAGTGAATGTCTCAGTCATTAAATAAACCCTTATTTAGGAAAAATTGCAGTAGAGATATACAATCATGTATAATTTATAGAAAATTCAAAGGCATGGACTATTGGAAATCTCATCTTCACTTGACCCTGATATTGTAATCTCCATGTCTCATGAAGCTTAGCAACTAGTGAGAACTTAAATTCCTTTAGAATTTGGATTGCATTTTAGTTATAACCTTGTATGACTAATCTGTAACTTGAATGATTAGATAACTAGCTTTACTCAGAAGGAGTAGTGGAAATCATGAAAAATAAAGTAAAATAAAGACTCACGGTAAAGAAGGGATTTGAATATGAATTTTTATATATACACAAGCCTACAATTTTATATAATTTAAGTGGTGTTTATTACAATCATTCTATGATAGGGTGGGCAGTCTTCATGCAATACATAATATTCCTTTTACAATCCCAGAGCCCCATTAGACTGGGTACAATTGAAAAAAATGACTTTTTAAAAGAATTGCAGGAATTTTAAGGGACATTTTTTTGTTTTGTTTTTATCATGGTAGCTGATATTGGTATCAGTAGCATCCCTAGAAAACTAATCCAAGGGCCTTCTTCCAACAAGAACAATCAATTACTGATATTAAACGCCTGCAATTATTATACATATTCAAAAGAAATAGTTTACAGATGGAAAACTTAAAACTGGTATCTCTGCCATTTGGTTGAAAGATAAAAATCAGGGAAAACAGAACGTGCACTTGTTCTGACTTGATGTGATTTGAAATGTCAGTGTTGTCAGCTTTTTGTTTATTATTTGTAATTTGTACTGAAATTTTGATTTGGTTCACATTAATTAACATGAAGTTTAAAATAAAACCCTCAAAATTGTCTCTTTCCATATTGTTGACTTTTATGTATATATATAATTTAAAAAGGCTAATTTTCAACAGTCAAGCAATTCCATACTTATCTATTCAGATGTATGCTCTATGTGGAAACTATTTGTCAGAATATATGGGACTACAGTCTAGGAATATTATTTTAGAATTACTGTAGTACTGGACTTACCACATCTGGGCTACAAAAATCCATATGATCAATAAATAGTAGAAAAGAGTTTTCAAAAATATGTTTGTTGTCCTCTGATGGTTCTATTAAATGTTTGCATTCCAGGTATGATACCTTAGATGTCAAACTGGTGGCCCAAGGGCCTGATACATCACATGCTAGCCACACCCACCCCTGGTTTAGCAAAGGGGAAAAAAGTTGTGATACATCACATGACAACAACATGACCATGCAAGTTTGACACCCCTGCCTTAGTGGATGAGTGACCTGCAAGCTTTATTATTTTCCTTCTTTATTCCCATCACTTTCTGCTTTGCACCATGCCTCTGCAGTATAAAACAGTAAGTTGGAATGGAATGGAATGGATTTTTAAAACTAATCATATTGTAATGTCTTTTTAATTGAAGAGTAGGGTAAAGTGAATATTTGTAATAAATGTTATAAATAAAAATAATAAGTATCAATACACTGTTTTTTTATAATACATTTTGAACTACTTTAAAATACTTTCTTGGAAGGGTGATTTTGTCATCACAAGCTTAGTTGGAATGTCTTTCAAACTTCAATTTGCTCTTGGTAAATGTAGATTTGATGCTAAAGCAGCAAAGTGAAAACATTTGGGGATAAATATCTTGCTGCATGTCTAATGTACAGTAGACATATCAGAATGCAAAAGCATTTACAAAAATTATTAATTCTAAACACAATCTAAACTATTTGATATTACATGCCAAATCTAACTGATAATCTCATTTAAATTCAATGCAACAAACACATTGAACTTTCAAAGATTCTTCCATTTGAATATCATGACTTTCTTCAGAAGGATACAGGATATTGGTCTGTGGTCACTGGTTATATTGGCAGGAAGAAATGCTGTTATAAGAACAGGTGTTCTGATCTTATTGGTTACATATGAAAAAAGAGTTAAGTCCATTGCTAGTTTGAGCCAGCTGTGTAAACACAAGAAAGTAACTTCTAACTTCAGAAAGTTGGGATCTTTTTTTGATGCAAGTTTTCAGATTCATTGCTCAAAGCTTTTACAAAAGCTTTTATTCAAACTCTTACGATGGTAAAATTAGGAAAACTGAGTGCATTAGAAACTCCAGTTTCTCAAAAAAGAATAACAAGGAATTTAAAAAGATATTTTTTTAAATTTGTTGATTATTAAAACAGACCCCAAAGGCAAAAGTGTTACCAAAAAAAGAAAGAAAAAAGAACAAGGAACACACTTCTGTACTATTATGGGATATGGTAGCTGATTCCAAACATATTATGCAATTAATATTGTTTCACAAATATTTTATTGTTTGCTTTTTAAAACAAACAGAATTGCTTTTCAGTCTAAACTACCTTTTATAAATCATTTGGTTTTTAAAAATATAAGAGATACCCATGGGCATTAGATTATCATGGATAGACATGTTTCCAAGTAGGAGATTATGTTACCATATCATCATATCTGAGAATGAATAATCTTTTCAGAAAAATATTTTAACTTTATATAGGAAGGAAATTTTTCCACATATTTTAATTAACATATAAAACATATTTTAAACATTACATTAAACGTATGTGTACACATACCTTTTTCATCAGATTTGTCCCTTATAGCTAAAGTATCACTACTCAAGGATACAGTTTGGCCATTCAGTATGTCAGTTCTCATGCCTGGAAACTTTGGAGAGGAAATTAAACGTCCCTCATAGGAATATAAGTAGATTCCTCCACCATCAACAAGAACAAAATGCCTAATTGGGGTTGAGATTATAGCCATCAATAACTTGGTTAATATTATAGTTACAATTAGTCTAATTGTTTTGTAAATTGCTTGCATTGTTTAACAAGTTTATTCCATTATTTTAATTTCTAAAATATTATGCTAGCATTTGTTTTTAGAGTTTTCTATTCTGTCAAAATAGGTGGTCTAATATTATTTTGAATAAATCCTGATTCACTTATCCAACATGCAGATATTAGCATTCAGATATCTTTACCATTTCTGAACTGTCAGAACATCATCAATTTTAATTAGTTTATTGTGTAAAGGAGTAGAATATCAGCTGACCAATTTACAGTCAGGCCAATACACATACTAATGCTCCAATTAGTTGATAGCAGTTAAATGATAAGCAAATAACTATTAAATTTCTTTTCTCTTGTTTGCTCTCTTCTCAAACATAATTTTGGATTCTCAGCATCCAAACAGGTTCTCAATGTGTAAAAAGGAAGCATATTAAGTGAGACAACAATAACATCAATCTATTCCAACTATAGATTGAAACTGGATGCAAACTTGCTTGGGAAGAAGTGAGCAACACTGGACTGGACCTGACTAAACACAGTTTTGAGACAAGACCAACTGCAAGACTTTCCAGAAAGAAGCAAGTTCTCTCCCTCCAAATAATGCTCCTTTCCCACTCCAATTAGGTAAGGATGAAAGCCTGTCACAACAAGTTAAAGCTCCAATCATCTCCAGCAGGCAATTAGGCAAATGTTAAGGCCAATATATCTTTTTGCACAAGCCACTGCCATCCTTCTCCTGCTAGGAAGATATAGCAGACATTTGTTTTAGCTCTTGAGTTACAACCAGCAAGTGACAGACATAAAATAAATAGTAGCTACCACCTACATTTAAGACTGGAGGAAGGAGGGGGATGGACACACAAATTATTGTTTCTACTCTGTAGTTCCAACCATAAGAGAAATCTGTTATTCCACAGAAAAAAGGGAGTGTCGGATTGTCAATCCGCATTGAAATAAATGCAAATAGAAATGCCTTATGGTATTTGAGTAAATTTTATTTTACCAAAATTAAATGGTCTAAACAGTCATTTAAAATATATACCTTTCTGCTTGTAAAATTAAACTGACAGTTCCTTCTTTGAGGTCAAAGATTAAAGGTGTATTCCAGTTTTTAACTCTAAAATAAAGGGAAAGCAGTACATATTTCAAACTTGTTTAAACAAAGCATTTAATGAATGTCTTCATTTATACAGAATATACAACCCCAAGAAAGCTACATATCGTAAGATTGCCAAATATGGAAAATATGTAAATACTTTTACTTGATTGAAAAACAAATTATCTAATTGCCTTTTATATTTTTCCTTTAGTTATTATAACAATATTGTTCAGTTACAGCTACTGTGATTCAAAAAATGTACATAGACACATAAGCGTATCCTACAAGAACATTGCATATTCCTTCAAAACAGCCCACATACCCATTTAAAAAGAACATCACATTAAAAAAAAGTTCAGTGATTTGGCAATAGTAATTTGCTAGGCAGATCAATTAAGAGTTCTAAAAATTCATAATTGCATTAAAAGACTTAGTTCTGTTAAGGAAACTATATGGGTTCACTACAAAGGCTTTCCTCATAGGTAACTAAGTATACCCAATCAATTCCATGAGTAATTGTGAAGAGTTTATACTGCAGTTTATTTGTTGAATTTTGTCTGCTTCTATAAATCAAACCACATCAAAATTATTACATATTTACAATTTATCAGATGATATCTCTTCAATTCTAATTACTTACGAGAATATGTAACACTGGAGAGATGTTGAAACTACTAAATGACCAAAATTCAAAGATGCTTTAATGACTCTGTCACGAAATTCCAGCAAATCCACTGCATCATTAAGTACATTACGAACCTAATAATAAAAAAGCCCATAGTTAAAGTAAATCAAATTTAAATATGTAAGTAGAGCATTTCAATTTTAATGTCAACTATAATAAATTTAAACAAATGTACCATTTCTTCAGCATTGTATTTAGCAATTAAAATACTTTTCCAGAAAAACCTTACAAGCAATTGTTTAAAAATAAGACCACATAATATATTGAGAATAAACCAAGCCAAACCAAACTAAAAGGACCCAATCCTTTTATGTAACACCTAGCTTAAAGATGACCAGAACAGAGCTGGGCATATCCTTTGAATGGAGTGTTGCAGGAGTGCTTGCAAAATATCATATCACTGAGGCAATCATATATTTTCTAAGTTTGCGCAGCTATTTCAGAAGCTCTCCCAGCTGTTTCCACATATGCATTCTTTTTGTTCTCTTCTTGTGAAATGGGTGTATTATGCATGTGAGGAGCCTCTGAAGTAGTCACTTAAGTTGAGACTGCTTAAATTGGGAATTCAAAAATAGATGCTTTGTATACTCTTATGAATTCTAAAGGACCGCTTACAAAAGACTTGCAATACTGTAATATTCAAACCACCAGATCAAGTCCTGACAAAAATATTTTCCATACATATGACATATTTTTATTTTTATTTATCAATTTAAGCACCACCTGTCCCACTCTCAAATAATTTCTAAAAGTTTAAATGGGCAAAGGATTGCATTTTAAGGAAGCTAACATGTGTAAATGTCAGTACAAATAGGCTGTGAACCTCTCCTCATTCTTAATCCTATTTCAGTTGACTTTTTTAGTTCACTAAATAAATACACCACCTACTGGAAGTTTCTATGACACAGAAGCCTTGCTAAATCTAACCTAAAACATCTCCTCCCTTCCTTGGCATTTCCCCAAATAATAATATATCCATTTTTCTTTTGAAATTTGCAATGTTTCTGTTATTGTTCATTATATTGGGATACTCTGTCACACTTCTTTGGTTTATGGAAATTATCAATTTTTCAAGGGTAGTACTCCACATTATATTCATATGGACACTCTTCTTGTATCTCTTCCTGTATCTGCACTCAACTTTCATTTTTACCAAAAAAACCCAGTGAATTCTAACCATATATAATCAATGTTCTTCCTCTGCACATCACAGAGATTTAAAATCTGGTTGGAAGAACTTACAATGTTCTGGAGTTTACAGAAATACTGTTTACAACGGATCACCAAATACTGTTTACAACTGATCACCATTTGCTGCCCCTTGAAACATTCTGGTAATAATTAAGTTTGGTAATAATTAAATAATTAAACCACTTGGAAGAGCTTTGCATAGGGATATGCAATGAGATGCGCTTACAACAAAGTATTGCTGATTTCTCCAAGACATTCTGTTTATCCCCTTGAATGGACCAATCTGGATATTCTGGAAAAGTTCACAGCATTTAAGACATTCTCTAATGCTTAATGCATCTAGTTTAGGGGTGTCAAACTGGCAGCCCGTGGGCCGGATGTGTCATGTGCAGGCCACGCCCACCCCAACTTCATGAATGGGGAAAACGTTGCAAAAGTCACATGACGGCAATGTGACATGGCGAGTTTGACACCCGTAATCCAGGTCATCACAAACCACTTTCTATTCAGTGTACTTTCAGAATAATATCACCCCAGAATACCTAGTTCAGAGCATTCTAGGCAAAAAAAGATGTAACATTCCACTGCTGGAGAGCCTAATTTTTTTGTACATGCATGTTTCTGCCTGCAGAATTTATAATCAACATTTCCTTATCACCTCTCAGCACTTGGAAGCATTTTTTTTCCTAAACCACCAGACTAATGTTAATGCAAATTAACTTTTGTGAAGAAGAATGAAGGAATGTGAGTTATTTTATTTCACCCCTCCCCTACTGCATGTGATGAATGTTGGAGGTCACTGAACTACTGGATAGTTTAGACTGGTCCAAAATCACTCACTGAACTTCCATGGCTAAGAATGGACTTAAAGATGGGTCTCCCTGGCCATAGTCCATATTGTTAAGCACTACTATATACACTGGCTCTCCAAAGAGACTCCAGTGCACATGACAATGCACAAAACCCTTGGATCTGTCTAAAACAACTATTTGTCACACTACAGATTTTCAAAATGTTAAAAAAATCACCAAATGAAATATTATTTTCTGTATTTGGCTTTGTACTGCTGGCATTAGGGATTTACTTAATACATCAGAAAAATCCTGGGAAATTCTTGAAAAAAAATCTACCTAGTTTTGCAGAAAGAATAGCTCATTTTTATATAGTTGCAAGGAACTCATGGACAACTGGAACTTACAAACTGTCTTCCTTAAGCATTTACTGGAAGTAAATTCCACTGTATCATATTATCTGGAGGAAGTTTAGCAGTTTTATAGTCTAACCTACCAGACAAATGGCTGTCCAACCTTTACTTAAAAATCTCCAATAAGCTCCCATGACTTTAGGAAGCTCCACTGCTTAATAACCCTCATGATCAGGAAATTTCTAATAACTTTTGAATCTCTCTCTCTCTCTTTCTTTGTAAAGCCTCAACCTGCTGGTTCCTGTTCTACCTTTGGGAGCCATGGAGAATAAATTCATATCCTATTCTCTATGACAATCCTTCTAGTATTGAAAGACTGTATCAAGTCTCCCCTGGATCTTGGCTTCTTTAGGCTAAACATATCAATGTCTTTTAACTATTTTTCAAAGTGATTAGCTTCCAAGCACCTTATCATCTATGTTGCTCTTCTCTGTACTCTTTCCAGTTCTCCAGGGTCCTCCTTGAATTATCATGAGAAGAACCAAATATGGTATTTCAGTGTGATCTGACCAGTGCAGCACAGAAACTCCTTTGATCTTATTAGCAATTTTTGGCAGATGTAGCACATTGCTGGCTCATGCTTAATCTGTGGTCTACAAGGACACTCACATCTTTCTCACAGTACTATTTACAAGCCAGATACCATCTATCTTGCACTGGTACGTTTTATTTTTCTTACCTCAGTACAAAACCTTATATTCTTGCTGATGAATTGCATATTGTTGGCTGGAGCTCATTGTTCAAGCTTATCAAAATCCTTCTGAAGTGTTAACAGTACTTCCCCTATCAATTTTTGTGTTATCTGCCAACTGGATGAGCATCTATCTATCCTATCACCTATGTCTTTATGAAAAAGAGAGCATTAGGCCCAGGATAGAAATGAGGTACCTATTGGATACCTCATTCCATTTGACTTGGAACCATTAAAGACCACGTTCAAGCTATGTTCTTAAACCAACTATGAATCTATCTAGTGGGATCATCCATCCCGCATATTTCCATTTTTGAAGGATATTCAACTGGATTTATTTCTGAGTAGACATGTATTAGAGGCTGGTGCATTTAAAATGTTGTAAGCAACCTTGAGGCAAGACAGGCAGCAATCAAATCAAATAAAAAAATAGCTTCAATAAAACCTTTACAGAAAGTTGACATTTGGAAAATAAAAATGGTCAGTATTCCTTAGAAAAAAACAATGATAATAAGTAAGAAGAATAGGTGAAATATTGATAAATTATTTAATAAATATTAAAAATGAGCCACTTTTTATTTAGTAATGGCATTCTATTTACAGTAATATATAATGAAATTTATTATAAAAATAATATAAACTAGAGAGAGAACCACTACTTGCCAATACAAACTAAAGCAATCCAATATTGTATCCTGTATAACTAACATTCATATACAGATTAATAGTACACTTTAATAATAAAGATTTCATTGTACAGGTTACTCAGATATTTTTATAAGTAAAACACAATTCTAAATACAGGGTTTATCACATTCATTCATTACAATTTTATGGCTGGAAGTGAGTATAAAATATGATTTTTACCTACCAAATTTGTTTTCTGTATTTCCAGACAATGACTCATAACATTCCATCCAGTGAATATTCTTATATAACCAGCATCAAAATTGTCAAATGATTTTTAAGTGCTTAATTAGAGATTTGGCCTATCCAATATTGGGAACCAGGACGAAAAAACTTGGTCTAAATTCCTATTCTAAATTGAAATTCAGAAATTGTATATTATCTTCCAGTCCTTTGGTGTGATAATATAAGTCACTGTCTTTCTGGGGAATATAGCATATTTGCCAGATGAAATACTATTTTATACTTCTAGATCGATCTTATGGTAGACAATTTTGATAAAAACCCATTTTTAAGTAAAACTATGTATTTGGAATCTATAAATGTAACTTTAAAAAAAAAATGCTGTTGCCCCAAAATATTTTATTAAAAGATTTTAATAAAGGGCCTCTTTAATTTTTGCTGTAGCTATTTATTTAGCAATACGCAATGTAAAACTTTTCCATGGTCAAGCTTGACTGCAAGTATCCAGTAATAAAACCAGTGATCAGTATTACGCCTTGTTGAAAGCAATTATAATATCTACCAGCATTCTATAGAAATATATATTAATCAATTTAATTATGGTTTGGGAGAAAATGTGGTAATTTTCTGATTTTTAGATAAAAGAAAACAGGTATCTTTTACACTTGCCCTAAGCAAAAAAACAGTACAAAAGAAGATTCAACACTTCAGTAACAGCTGACAACACTGCAGCTGCTAAAATGGTAAACCATAGCTATACTGGATACAAATAAGATTTTTAAAAAAAAACGCAACGAAGTTTTTCAAACATGAAGTATATGTTATTGCTTCCAAAGTACTGACTTTGTTTTCAAATGTTACAAAACTATTTCCAGTATAAAAGTATTCTTTTGATTCTGCCTTTCTAGCCAATGAAAGCATCGATCCAGGCTGGAATACACATTTTAGGTACTCTATGGGACAGTCTAGATTTAAAGATTTGACTACGTTCATAAGTGCATGAACCAACATGCTCATTCCACTGGAGACACACTGAAGGCTGTTTTACCTAGCTAAATGGTAATATGTTATCCTCACGAACAATATATTATTGACTTAATAAAAGTAAATTCTTAAAATTTCAAGCCTGTTAACCATAAACATATCTAAAGGTATCAACGGTTTTGAAGAGAAAAGTTGTATTTAAAAAATAATCTACTGTTCACCAAACTTTAAATAGCCAACACATACCTCCATGGTTCTTCTCTTAGTCAATGTTATTCCAAAGTTTTTCCATACCCAGCGCTGTTCCACAACATGGGCAAAAATCACATGTCCGTTTCCACAAGCCCCAGCTAATTGTGTACCATCAGTAGACCAAGCAATATTGAATATGCTGCCAGTGTTTGGCTTCTCTAAAGCATAGGACCACTGTAAAATATTTTTTTTTAAAAAAAATTAAAATTTAAATAATCCTACCTATAGTGTAGTATATAAAACATATAATAAACTTGTGTTTGTTACACATATTATACATATGATTAATAGCACTATACATATATCTATTTTATTTTGTTTTTTTAAAGCAAAGACATGAATTGCAACAAGATAGTCATAGACAAGAAAGGCGAACACTCTTTTCAATAAGGTGAACTAGGTGCACAATAAAAGCAAAACTACAATATAGATACCATTTCACACAATAGCAATTTTTATTTAATATGACATAAGAATATTGCTTTTAATGACAAACGTACTTTAAATGCAGTACATTATTATAAAAGTTTCCATTTAAGAATATTCCTATTTTTTTAAAAAAATGAAAAAGATGGCACTAGAAATACTTGAATAGTAATTGCTAAAATGATGGCACTTTCAAAATTATATTTCTTGTTGCAAGTCTTGACAGTTGAAATTTCAGGGGGAAAAATACCAATAATGGCAGAGAAAAATAGAAACATTTCATTTTAATACTAAAACATTGAAGATCAATAGAAAATTCTTTATGGGTGACAGAGGCAGGGATAATGGGAGATAAATAACTTCATTAAAACTATATAATGAAGCAGTTCATTTGGAATATGTGATTCCATTCATACTAGAAATAGCAAAACCATGGACTGAGACTTACAAGAGTCTTGTAATTAGGTTCTTATAAATGTAAGAAATATAAAGAACACATTTAATAAAGCTATGTTTCAGTTTGAAGGATGAAAAGTTTAGAAGGAAGAAATTAAAACAGTGTGAACAGATGTAAGTTAATAGAGTAATAAAATAAACAAAAAGAACAAGATGAGAAATACAACTGTATAGTTACCAAAAAAGAATGATGTGCGGGGAACAAGAAGGAAGATTGAGCCTGACATTAATACAAAATACGTTTGAGAGAATACTAATTTATTCTGATTAATAAAAACTTATATTCTCATTCTTAGTTGCCAAACCTATAGGTCAACAGTGGAAACTTTTTTAAAAAAATAACAATTAAAAATGGTGTTCAAATATACCTTTAACTATGATTTTTAAAAATCTCACATAAAATTCAATTTTTTGCATGAAGGAATGAATCGCAATGGAATGATTATTATAGTGTAAAAATATTGAATGAATGTTGCCTTGTGAACTTTTACTGTTATTAGAATATAAAATAAAGGCAACATTTAAAGCAAAAAATGAAAAAATAAAAGTCCATTTCAAAACTGTTTAGTCAATGAAACAGAGGTTGTGAAACATTTCTGTAAATATGTGGGGTGAGAAAGTTCATAGGGGAAGACCTTTCTTTGTGGTTTCCAAGCAGGGGTTTTATTGTAAGGAAATGCTATTAAACACAAAAATATTATAATACATGAAGTGGGACACACAGATCAAGCAGGGTACTTCAAAGATGTATCAATGGATAGTAATTGGGTATACAATAAAATAATATTTTAAAAAGAGCTACTACTCTATTTTCCCCACAAATAGGATTCTGTTGCCTAAAAGGATCCTCAAGTGCACAGGGAAAATAGATAATAATCAAATAGTGTTACATAAATCTTTCTAACTTAAGAAGTCAAAAATTGTACTAGTGAAACCAGGATTTATTCTTTTTTTGGACGAATTAAAAAGAATGCATTATATCACTTACATATATAGCAGTATATACAAATACAATCACATCTTTATATTTCATTTAACAACTCAGATAAATCATATGACCATGTTCTCCCTTAAATTACCTAGAAGAATTATGTAACTGCTGTTTATTTTGTGCATGAAAGCAATATAAGAAAAGCTATTTTCTATGACAAAAGACCAAAAGGTGTTATTGTTACAAAAACAGTCAAAACTGCCGCTCTCAAGCACAAACTGGCAAACAAAACTGAGTGAAATAAATTACTGTGATTATATCTTACTGTTAAGAAATTTCTTTCATTGTTCAATCAAAATGTATTTTGTATTGTATTGATATATAGTATACAGTAGCAGAAAACCAGTTTGCTATCTTCTATAAGACAATCCTTCAGTATATAAGAGAAAAATATGGTGGGGTTTTTTTGCAGAAAATTCACTTTGTTTAAAAAAAGAAAATTCACTTTCTTTCATGTAACAATCTTCATTTTTGTGGAATATTGTGTTAGTGGGGTCCATCCCTTTTTTTCCCTGCCCCATTCCTGTGCAGTGAAAATATAAATCTGCCTGTTTCTTAAGTATTTTAGATGACTGGCAAATATATCTGGGTAACAACTGCATGATTGATTCAACTTTGTACAATTGGATTGAAGATGAACTTCAAAAACTTGCTAAATTCATCATGGAAAGGCCTTCTTTATTAGATTACTTCTAAAAGTTGACAGTGAAGTGCCAAAAGCTCTCCCAGAGAACCAGAGATAGCTATCTCAGTTAAAACCAAAGTCTATTCTTCCAGAAACAGATTTCCTGCTATACCAGATAGAGAACTTAATATAAAACAGATGCAAATGCAAGGGTTTTTAAAAACTGTGCTTATATTTGCTGTACTTTCTCGATTGGTCTAAGATAATTCTGAGGACTCACATGGTATAGAGCTGTGATGGTGAACCTTTGGCATGTGTGCTGGAAGTGGCACACAGAGCCATCTCCGCCGGCACGCAAACCGTTGCCCCAGAGCAAGTCTACTGAGCATGTGCGCGCGCTGCCCACCAGCTGATCATCGGGTAGCTGCCATGCATGTGTGAGGGGGCAGGTGTGTGTGGGAGACATGTGCACATGCGTAGAAATGTGCGGGGCGCATGGGGGTCAGTGCGCATGTGCAGAGACATGCAGCATGTGCATGGGAGTTGTGCGTGCATGTGCAGGGACATGGGGGGGCTTTTGCCTTATGAAGAAGAAAAAAGTCACTTATGACCGTTTTTCACACTTGAAACCATTTTAGCAACATCATGGTCGCATGATAAAAATTCAGACACTTGGCACCTAGTTCATATTTATAATGATTGCAGTTTCCAGGGGTCATATGATCACCTTTTGTAACTTTCTAACAAGCAAAGTCAATGGGAAAGCCACCAGTTCGCACCTATTCGCTAGAACCGGTTGTTAACATTCCAAGCAGTTTGGAGAACCAGTTGTTAGAAGAAATTACTGGCCTCATCCTGTAAGGAAGGCAGGAAGGAAACATTCTGGTGTTCCTTACAGAAACTGCCTCTCTGTTAACCCTTATTACATTCTTGGCAGGACTAGACTTCCTGTCTCAGGAACATCTCTGGAGTTTTTTTCCCCCTCCTTTGCTGGTACTTTGCTTGTGTGGAGTGACCATTCAAAGTTACAATGGCACTGAAAAAAAGTGACAATTTTTGACCATTTTTCACACTTACGACTGTTGCAGCATCCCCACAGTCATGAGAGGCCAGGTGAGAAGATGCATGCCTCGATGTGAGTGATATTGAATTGGCCACACCCAGCCAATAACATGACCACCAAGCCATGTCCACCCAGTTACATGACCATCAAGCCATGCCCACCACCTAAGCCATGCCCACAGAACCGGTTGTTAAAAAATTTGAATCCCATCCCTGCCTTTAAACCCTATAAATTTTAAAATGATGAAAAGCATGGACACAGGATTTTTTCCCGTTTCATACTTTAAAAACACTTTTAAAGGTGTGCTTGACACCTAAAATGAGAGGTGAAGACGTTGTCCAGAAATCCAGTGACTTTGAGTTCTAATCGCACTTTAGCCATGAAAAACTGGCTGGTGACTTTAGGTCACTCTATCTCGGTCCAATCTACCTCACAGGATTGTTGTTGTGGGAAAAAATAAAAAAATGATATGCTTGCCACCTTGAGTTGTATATGAAAAAAAGGCAGGATATAATGATTTTTTTAAAAGGGACTTTCAAAGAGTATACTTATAGAAATGGCAAACTATATAGTTTTAGTATTAGCACTCCTTAGTATTATTAGTGCTACAAGGAAAAAAAAAGGCCGATGCAAAAAACTGTATGTTAGTGTATTTAATTAGATTATGCTTTATAACTAGTCACATATGCTGCAGAAGGGTTAATGATATGTATATCTCCTGATAGTTCTCCAGGGAGCAATTTGCTGATTCAGCTCCATTACATCAGACACAATAAAAATGTCTGTGTTGACCAAAAAGTCAGGCCTGGTTCTCTTCAAACACTATCATACAAATAACCAGTGAATCATTCTCTCTTCTCTCTCAGCACTAGCACAGCTAATTCTTTAGCAGCTATTTATATTTAAGTCAAAGAAAAAACTTGCATGAAGCAGCAGAAATGTATAGAGGCAAGTCTAATAAATTATTACAGCCAGCTGTAAAGGAATAGATAGCATCTGGCTTTAGCTTCTGTTAAAATCCACTCCTCTCCCAGAGCAAAAGAAAAAAAGAAAGCTTTATAGGAAGCCCATTTAAAGAAATGTATTCTGTACATTCATTTAGTTATGCCATTTAATCAATTAAGAACATTGTCATTTTGTAATAAACTTAAGATTTATTATCTTTAAATCAGCAATAAATAAAAATGTAGTTTAAATCTTCACTTTCCCCATAGGATTAAAAATGGAGGAGGAATATTGAGGAATGTTTAGGACAAATATTATGCAACTGCTTCCACTTAACTCTGTAATATTCTTAAACAAGTTTTCTTTTTCTATACCATTCAATTATGCTTTTTTTCAAACTGAAGGAAGAACTCTGTAAATGTAGTTTGCTTGGTAAGAGACATATTTGAGACAAGCATACATCTGAAGTTTACTCTTTTAACTCTCAATTAGTAAAACAAAAACTTTGATGGATTACATTAAGTAATCTTCTGTTAAGGTATTCTTTATAATGGTTGTAACTGCCAATACAAATTGCTGGAGAAAGGATTAAAATTATGGATTATTCTGACACAAAAATGAATGTACATGTTCTCAAATGCTTATTTTGTGAAGATATAAAATTACTCATAATTTATTCGAACTATTCCATATTATTTTGGAGTTTGGTAGTAATTTGTATAATCTAAAAATTGGCTATTTTTTTCAGTGAAGCTTCTCTATGAAAGATACTTTGTGTAGGGAAGGAGAGTGAAGGAACAAGCCTGTGTGAGACAGATGAACACACAAACAGTCCAAAAAGGCAGATCACCCATGAGAGAAGTTAAATATGGACAGATGGTTTAAAAGGGGCAGAATGCAAAAGACTTAGGTAGAGAGACTTACAATACATTACAATACATTACAATTCAAGAAGTCACTTTTAATTTTCTAAATGCCGGTAAATATTGGTGAGATGGGTGGCAAACAAATTTAATAAATAAAACAAATAACTGTCAGCAATTGTTTATTATTTACTGTTTTCCCAAACACAAGTGGTCCTCACTTAACAACTGAGCCCACAACAGGTCTAAATAAGTGGTAACTACAACTAGTCCTTATTCTTACAAAGTTGCAGCATCCTGTGGCCTTTGTCAGCTTCCTACAAGCAAAATCAATGCGGAAGCCAGAAGGAGATCAGAAATAGCGATCTCCCAATTTAAGGACAGGATGCACTCAACGGCAACAACCAGAAGTGTCAGAATTGATGGGACTACACAGCATGGTCACATGACATCACACTTTACAACCACATTACTTTGCAAAAGGAATTCTGTTCCCAATTACTGTTGTTAAGTGAGTAACTGTTGATGTATCTTGGAATGTTAGGGTGCAAGAAGGCAAGATGAATAGGAGCAGTACAAAAATACAAACAAAATGACACATTACACACACACACTCTTGACTACGCTGAAGATTCAACATTACTGTGTAGAAGCAAGCAGTTTATTTGCACATTTATGCCTCATCCCTATGCCATTTGTGGTTCATAGAGTGAAGCAACTCAGGCCAGAAGTTATACTTCACAGTAATCATTTTATAACTTATAATTTAATTTTTTTTTAAATCTTAAATCAACTTTGATATTTGAATTTTAATCTTATTTACTATTTATATATTGAAATATACCACCCTCTTTAAAGGAGCTGGGTGGTATAAAAACACAAAATATAAATAAATAAATTGTATTACCAGGGTATGTTGTAGGGGCCAATGAAAAAATGGAAGCAGTTTAGAATAGAAGATAGAGAACTGAGCAGTAATTTTGATTTTCATTTCATGTCACTGCAAGTATTTCAAGGCTGCTCAGCAATGTAATTGGAATAATCTCAGCAACCCAATAATTCTTAACTTTACATCAGTCTTATATCATGCCCAATCAGCACATCTCAGAAAAAGTCTTAGAAATATCTCCTCCACAAACACACTCTACAAAATCTTTCTAAAGTTTATCTTATGGTTGTTTGAAAAAGTATCTTTCTCTGAAGCATATTCAAAAGCATATTCACTAGAATGAGCAACCAAAATTAAAAACTATGAAATGATACTCTGACCCAACGGATTCTTGTACAAAAAGACAAGATGGATTTTATTTGAACAACTAATAACCATAAGTTACTTAATCAATTTCCTTAAACAGAATTCTGGAAATGAAAAACAATAAAAGACATAGAAACAGACATCATCTGAAATCAAATTAACTGAAGGATATGCTGTTAAAATTGAACAAGTAACAGTTGCTAAATACTGTATATCCATAGATTAAAAAAACCTTGCTGATAGAATATAATAGAATGAGAAGAAAAACATGTCTTATATTCATCTATAAATTTAATAATTTTATTTAAAATTCAAGAAAAATATATAATTAAAATCTTAATTTTTGATCCTGTTTTCTTGAGTTGTATAATACACTTAATATTTTTAAATAAATATATACCCTCTAAACTATTACTTACCCCTGTTTTATCACAAAGTCGTAAAGTGTGAAAGGATCCAACAGCAAATAATTCCCCATCCAAAGCCCAAGCAACAGAAGTGACAGGATATTCATGGGACAATGAGCTATACAGCAAACGACCATAGCTATCCCATACCTATTTTATTAAAGAACAAAAAACACAATCAAGTTTTGTATCATGATGTGATTTCATTTCAGTGAGACTGTAGTTTGTTTTTGCGCTCATGTAAAGTAATATTAATGTAATCTTTATTCAAAACTTAATAACATTTAAAATTTCCAATCTAAGTATTTATTCTTGATTATGTTAGTACAATTGAACTGAATATTTTCCAAAAACCCAAAGTATTTATTAATATAATGAACACTTATTATGATATTTTACAACTTTTGATTCAAAAGTTATATGTATGTATGTATATATGTATGTATGTATGCATGTATGCATGTATGTATATAGTTTTATATTTTGATGTGTTTTTTTAATTTTAAAAATAAACTTTATTAAAGATTAAAAAATATGTACAATGCATAAGATATTTCATTACAAACGAAATCCATGTGTAAAACAAAACGCATAAGTATAAAACATATATGTTTCTAATCAATTAGACAGTATGTTCTTTTTTCAAAAACAATTTTTCTAATATTCATTTTCTGTTTCTGGTAACTACTCTTAAGTTTAACCACTTAATTTTTTCCATTCCTTATCTTTTTATTCCCTGGTTTTTATCCTTAATCCATTTTTCTCAAACTGTACTATATTTTGAGTCTACCTCATCTTTTAGTTTTTGGGTAAGTACATCCATTTCAGCCCTATATTAAAAGTCTGACTCACAGACGAACACAATACAGAAGCCTGATGATGGCAGATGAGATTCTGCCGAAAGGTTGCTACAACTTTAAAAACACAACTATAATGACGTGAGAAAATACCCCAATAAAGCTGAATACCATACATGTAAGTACCCGCAAAAACTTAAGAAAACATAATATATATTGCAGCAGTCCCCAACTTTTCTGGCTAAAGTGTTGGCGGAGGACCATGCAGTGCGAGCCACTCTGGCTGTGCAAGCTACAGGAGTGCACAGCTCAATTTGTACAAGAGGCGCATGTACCCACCACTTATGCGACTGGAGCTACATGTGCACTTGCCCGCTGCTTACATGGCTGAATTTTGAATGGGCTATGGCCCAGGGCTTAGGGACCCATGTGTTATTGTACATTACCCATAGCCATCTTTGAGAATGGGCTTTTTAGAAATGTGAGATATAATAAATAATATAATAAATAATAAATAATACTGCTGTCTCCTATTTTCCCCAAAACAACTCTGTGGGATGAGAAAGAGTGACAGGGCCAAAATCACTCAGCCAGGAGGCCTAGAACTCACAGTCTTCTGGTTTCTAGGCTAACACTTTAACCACTGCAAAATTAGCTGTCAGCATTTAAATTATAATTATGATTGTAATTAATTATAAGTATGTGGTAAGCTGGTACAGGTAGTCATAAGGATACCACAATTGGGATTGGTAATTCAGTCATTAAGAGAAGCGGTCACTAAGGAAAAAGGCAAGGATTGGTCATAACTGTGAACAGTTGCTAAATGAGGCAGTTACTAAACAAGAATTACTTGTACTTGTTTTACACATCCACACACAGAGTTCAACAAATGTGTAGTGAAATATTATCTTCTTTTATTTAACTGAACCTCTTATAATAGTTAATTGCATATTATAAGACGTTTTCGGAAAGAATGCATACCTTATATTTACAGTCTTCCCCAGCTGACAAAATAAGATCATTGACAGAATTCCAATCAACTTTTAGAATAATTCCATCATGAGCTTTCCACTGGGAACAAAGAGGAAGAACAAATATATTTAAAATAAAGCTTATAATGTAACAATCTTAAATCCTAAGAGCTCTAAATGTTAACAAGGTATAATATTAAGAGAGTTAGTTTTATCATTTTTAAATAAATAACATTTTAGTCAAAATATTTAATGTGTAGACATGAAAAGGGATTGAACTTTAGTTTGCAAAAACACTGCTTTAAATTAGATTGTATAAAACATGTTTATGAATTTGATTAATTGAAGCTTAAAATACATCTTGGTACACCTGGGTTACATATAATTGAAACAATAAACTCACAAAATAGGATGGACACTTGATGTCATTATTTAGCAACCATTTCAATTAGCATATTTCCAGGTAGCTCTAATTCTACATGCTAATTTTACTAAGACATTGAACTACTTTAAATACCCATAATTGTTTCACTTTGTTTAATAGTGTACTTTGCATTATATTTTACCGTTCTTCCCTGAACAGGTTTTAATTCCCCCCCCCCCATACACATTTTCCAGAATTAAATATTATAGAACTTTCATATTAAATTATAATTTGTCATCTAATTCCAGATTAAGTTAATGCTGGCCCCTTGTCCTGGTAATATTTGTGCTGGCCAGGGGAATTCTGCGACTTGAAGTCCATCCATCTTAGCTGTAATGTTACTTTTTTAAGTTAGCATGATGACATACATTAAGTAGTAAGGTGATAGCTAACTTAATTCAATTTGTCTAGCTTAGGTTTAGAGTCTAAGATTTTGTATAGCAGGCACTTCTGAATACCAACTCTGAAATAAATGGTTGTAATTCTATCAACACAACATCCTTCACACGACAAAGATAAGATGAAGATTGCTGTTTTGGATATTGTTCACTCAACATTTTGCAATCATTATAATTATTAAATACTCTATATTAATGATACCTGTAAAACTTTAGCATTTGGCTGAAGTGGTTTGATAATCAGCTGCTTTCCTGATGTGTAAAGAATCTTTTCAGAATCTGGACCCCATGCTACTGAATATATAGGTGTTCCTATAGATAATGGAAGAAAGTGATACACATTGGTGAGAAATGCTACTATTATTTACATTCCAAAATACTTTAATACTCTTCTAATCTACATCAGTTTTATACCATGTGTTTAAAAAGGATAGAATTAGCAACAAAGGTAAATGTTTATTCAGACAAGATTTTATGACGTTATCCATTCCTATATAACATTTATGAAAAACTGCTGGGGAGATCATCTATCAGTATGGGATTAGAATTCATGAGGAGGCTATCCAAGGCTGGATAAGGGGGACAGGTTAAGATTCAATCGAGAATGCTAATAGCAAAGTATTATGATGTCATAGTGTAAAAAGTCTAGAGAGCATAATATTGCATGGTCAAGATCTTGACAATTGCATTCTTCTTGTTTGGGATGTCAAGGGTTTGATCAAAGGAATGTAAATTCAATTTCAGAATAAAAGATAGTATCACTCTTATCAATGGAGAGATGGATTAATGTTTAATGACATTGTTGTGACAGCCCAAGAACAATGGAAATTATCATTATATAAAACATGCCAATGGTGAGAAAACAAGTACATCCATTGTTTAAGCAAGAATTTGTTAACACCTGACATATTCTATTCAGTTGCAAGGAGAGCAGCTTGTTGTACTCTTAATATACACTTGAAACCCAAAAAAGATTCCATTTGTGATTGTTACAAAAGAACCTGTATCATCATCTGCCTGTACAAGATGTCAACTATTACTCCATACTTTCTCTGATCAAAAACAATCTACCAAGAACAGCACTAGAATAGAATAGAATGGAATGGAATAGAATAGAATACTTTATTAGCCAAGTGTGATTGGACACACAAGGAATTTGTCTTGGTGTAAATACTCTCAGTATACATAAAGAAAAGGTACATTAGTTAAGAATCAAGAATCATAACGTATAACACTTAATGATTGTCATAGGGTACAATCAACAATCAAATCATACTAGGAAACAGTCAAGTGGGAGGGGATGACTGATAAGGAGTGGTGAGAAGATTAACAGTAATAGTAGCGTACACTTTGTAAATAGTTGAACAGTGTTGAGGGAATTATTTGTTTAGCAGAGTGATGGCTTTCGGGAAAAAACTGTTCTTGTGTCTAGTTGTTCTAGAGCGCAGTGCTCTATAGTGTCGTTTTGAGGGAAGGAGTTGAAACAGTTTATGTCCTGGATGTGAGGGGTCTGTAAATAATTTCACAGCCTTCTTTTTGACTCATGCAGTATACAGGTCCTCAATTGAAGGCAGGTGGGTAATAATTGTTTTTTCTGCAGTCCTAGTTATCCTCTGAAGTTTGTGTCTGTCCTAGATAAAGGTAGCATGGCACAGTTATTTGGTTTAGCATAACTGGATAACAGCCAAATCTTTTGGTTTATATTATTGATGAAAGTTTGTTTGAGCTGCTAGAAGAGCATAAAACACTCTTTAAAAACTCCAAATCTCTTAAGCTAATTCTCAGACTTAAATGGACAACAAAATGATCTTCACCAAAGGTGGATTGCAATTTAATAATGACAAGTCTGAAATATGGATAAGCTTTGAAATCGGCCCAGGGTTAAAGACTAACATTCTATTTGAAGTCTAGTTAAAATAATCGATGGCGTCATTAAGCATGTCACTAAGCACTGTGGTTGCTAAGCTGAAATCACATGACTACGACAGATTTACAAACTCACTTCCACTTCCACTGTTAACTGAATCATTGTGATCACTAAACAAGATATCACAAGACCTGATTTCCTGATTTCTTGCACTTGATACAGAACCTCTAATTGGACCTGGCAATCAATGTAGCTCATGGAGTAGAGGCATAATATATATCTTGTTAGAAACATATGTGCATTTTTTTATTTTGCACCAGCTGAAGCTTCTGGATTTTCTTCAAAGGCAGCACCATGTAGAGTATATTATGGTAATCCAATTGGAAGGTGACTAGGGCATAAGTAACTGAAGCACAGCCACACAGTCCAGGAACAGTATAAGTGAGCATAACTGGCATGCAACACAAAGCTGTGCAAAGGTCCTCCTAGTCATGATTGCCATCTGCTCTTACTCAGGGGTGGGATATGACACGGTTAACTATCAGTTCGGTGATTTACGAGGTTTGGTGATTTATGACGTGCTTCCCTGCGAGCGTGCGTCTTTAAATTGTCATCAGCACCCTGCGTGCAGAGAAGCAGCCTTTGAAACAGCCCTCTTTTCCTGCTTTTTTAACTGCAGCTGTGCCTCGTTTGGCAGCTGAAGTTGAAAAATCAGGAAATAAGGGTCAGGTAAGAGCCCAGGTGGGCGGGTGGGCAAAAACATCCGCAGACATAGAACAGGTTCTATGTCTGCTGCTCTTCAGAGCTACTAGTTCTACAGAGGTGGACAGAACCAGTAGAAACCCACCCCTACTCTTACAAGAGCAAGAGTAATGAATCAAAGAGGATTGCACACCATGTCTGTCTGGGGCTCTACAACCCAAATCAGCACCGAAGATGACAAAGATAATATAGAACACAATCAAAATATTTTTAAAGGAACACGCTCTTGAAAGATATTCAGCATTAAGTATGTTCTTGTCAAAAGAAAAATGATATAAAGGGTTTTTTAGACAGAAAGATGGTGTAGAGGTAGAAATAAAGGATACTAAGATAAAGAAAGTTAACAGGGAGGAGAAAAGGTCAAGATGATGGCATTGCTTTCTATCTTACTCTCTTCTTTCAGCATGGAAGTATATAAAGAGCAAACTGAAAAAACAAGCATATACAGGGAAGAATTCTTCTTGGCTAATTTGCAGCAAAAGAATTCCCTTCCCATAGAGAATCTCCAAATTATGAGCTACTACTGGCAAGATTGCAGGAATTTTTATCTGGATTGACTTTTGGAGGATGTGATGAAATCTTTAACATTATATTTTAGCATTTATTTTCTATTGTATTCAATTTGTTTTTATCACTTATTATTTAAGCTCCTCACCCCAAATAGCTTACTGAAACTCAAAGGTAATAAATTAAGCTTTGATATGGGTTTGTCAGCAGAAAAAAAGCAGAAAAAGCAAAAGAAATACAGCTAAGCTATTTCCTAGTTGTTCAAAGTGGTTCAAAGAACCAGAGCAGGAGAACTTAAATGGGGATGAAATTTGTGTGGATGCAGGAATGGTCATGAAGCAAATTATCTGATATTTTTCAGTCAGGATTCAGCTCTGGGTACAGGATTGAGACTGTGTCTTATCCATATTCCAATTAAATGGTTTGTGAGATTTCAGCTTTTCAAACATTGTTTGAATATATAACTGTATAACTGCATTATAGAATACTAAACTAACGTTCCCAATAAATTAAAAATAATGCACATTAGATTGCTACAATACATTATTCTCAGATGAACTCATAATTTATTTATCTGGTTGAAGAAAAAGCAGTAGAGAATCTCAGCAATCATCAAAGCAACATATAATGAAAAAGATTATAAAGTCAAACAGCATGAAATTGTTTGAATTCAACATTGAATTTAAAATTGAATAAAATTAAATACTGGAATAAATTAACAATGGAAAGCATGAGGATTTTACTATCTTGGCATTCTTACCAATTTTAGTAATAATGTTTATCCATTGCTAACTTTATTTGATATAACATTGTCAGAGATATTCTCCTCCTATTTTCATGGTAACACCACTGTAATTTGGACTAAAGATTTGCATACCACATTTAGTGATTGAGAAACTCAACTGAACTATAATTGGACTGTAGTTATATTTGTTTCTCTGGGGATGCTTTTTCATTTCTAACTCAACAACAACAACAACAATGTACTAGACTAATCCAATTCTAAGGCAACTAGTTCATCCTTTGACAAAATATTAGCTATTTTTTCTTCACAATTGACTTCATCTGAAATTGAATCACCTAACCCACTAATAAGCTGCATTAGATCTTTCGATACCACTTTTTGAAAAGTTACTTTCAAAAAGGTATTCCCATTCATGGATGATTCCATACCTAGGGAAAGTCTGTATTTATGTTTTTTAACTAGAAGGAAAATGTAAAAAAAATAGTCCCTTTAATATCAATTACTCCTTTTGTATTTGCTCTTGCTAGAAAATAACCTTATCATTCAAACTGATAAAAAAAACTAAAAGGATAGAGTAAAATACTTCTTTATGTATTTTATAGCTTACTTAAAACCACTCTAACTCAAAATAAAACAATTATAAGAGATTTGGATAAGAGAAATAAAACCAATAAAATATAGTTGGTCATCAAATAAATGACAATTGGAAAAAGTGCTGCTTTAAACGAAAATTGAAAGAAGTAGAAATTCTAGAATAGGAAGTAATGTGGCAGTACAGTGAACAAAATGGAAGCTGGAACTACAAGGTGTTTGCAGGGAAGTTTGAAAACTGCAGACTCCTTTTCACTATATTCCATTTAAGATATCAGTAAGACATCCAGTAAAGAAACAAATTGGTGAATGAAGGCAAATATATGTGTCCCAGGAGAATGTTGCAAGATCCAATCTGAGCCAGTTAGCAGGACCAAATGTTTACTCTTCCAAGCTTTCAGATTCATGCTGGAGCCCATTATCAGGGAACTTCTCACTCTCCTGAATGTGCATTCTGAAGAATTCAGAATTCAGAATTTGTATTCTGGAGAATGTATGTTCTGAAAAATTCAGAATTTATTCTTAGGTGGAATTTCAAAAACAACGAAGAAATAACAACTTACCTTGTTGTACTAATGTGGATCTTAGCATTCCACTCTTGGACCAAATTTTTATTTGTCCATCTTCACCAACTAGAAATAAATATCAAAGTCTTTGCTTAAGTAAGTTTTCAGCATTAAAATCCTTTAAAACTTTGAATATTATAAGTTGCATTATTACTTTACCCCTAAAAAGCAGTACTAACAGTCTTAAAGTGTTTCTCATTGCTTTCTGAGGAATTGTATGGTAAAAAGAAATATCATTCTCTAGGGTGACTAATTCAAAGTTTCAAAGTTTCCTAAATATGATATGATTATTATAATCAATATAAATGTTTTCTTCCTGTTTTTCTAAATATTCTTAAATCACCTAAATAAGAAGGCAGACTTTCCATTTATCCTGGAAGATAGCAATGGCAAGCTATTACCAAGAAAACTTCAACTGTGTAGTTGTCAGAAATCAAAGTTGGCTTGAGGACATCTTACCATAGTCCCATTTGAATAATTTTCTTAATCATCTTATAATTTAAGAAGAAAATATAAATAAATGAGAACCTCTAGTTTCAATTCTTATATTTATGTCACTTTTTACCATGTACAATATATGGCAACTTCTATTTACTCAGGGATTCACTGAAATTCACTGTTGTATAAATCAATACAAGTGAGGAACAACTAGTTTTTATTCCATGATGTTGCCTTTCAGTCAGTTATTACTGACTGAACTATACAATAAATAAAGTTTTTCATATCAAATGTAGCCTCTGGTTTACCTACTTTCTGAATACACAAATGATAATGTATTATTAGAATTTAAAGCAACATATTCTACAAGCACAATAATGAAATAAATATGAATGTTCTCTATATAACTATCTATCTTTACCTAATTTCCATGCACTATGTATTTTATATAGTACTCATATTATTTCTTTTCCATCATGTACTTGAAAAAAATAAGCAATTACACAAATGTTATTCCATCTTTTTTTTCAATTTCTGCACTTTAAAAAAGGAGCAATTCTCTTTTTGCATGTTGGGATAACCATATTCCTTCAGGACACACTTAAGAGATGAATCCTGTTACCTGTAACAAGTGCGGTACCTTCATAATTCCATCTTCCTGCAAGTACAGCTCCGCAGTGGGCTTCTACACTTTTTTCAACTCTTCCAGTTTTAGAAATCAAATGAAACTTACCTATAGAAGTATTATAATAATTATATTCATTATAAACCTAATTTATATACAAAGATGATTTCTGAAAAACAGTGTTTCATTCTTCTCTTTTTCTAATTTGTTAGTCAATTTACTATTTTCAGTTGGAAATATTTCTCACTGATATAAATAATTGGTTTCAGTTCAACTGAAATTATTCACTCATATATGGCATTGAAACCAATAGGACAAATTAGATAAACTAATTTATCTCATTGAAAGAATCAGCTCAGGGACAGTATGTGCAGTTAGTTACAGGACCCCTAAAGAAGAAATATGCTTTGGTGCTGAAAAGCCTGGGAAGATATGATGGGAGTTCTTGGCATGCTGTTTCAGAGGAAAGGGAGATGCAGAGTTTGATTATAGTAACTCTGGAACTTTATTGGTCCCAAGTGGCCATATTACTGTATTTAGGTTTGGGCACTGTTGATAAATAGATCTATTTGCAATAAGATCATGTTTACCCAAGTAATAAAATCAAATTCATTCAGCTGATCACATATAAAATCTGATCTTCATTTTAGAGCAGGGGTGTCAAACTCAAGGCCCGGGGGCCACATCCAGCCCATGGGGTGCTTAGATCTGGCCCTTGGGGCCATCCTGGAAATAGTAAAGGACTAGCCCATGGTGCCACTGCCAGCAAAAATGAAACTTGCGAATTTCACACGTGCTCTGTCACCCAAGCTCCATTTTCGCTGGTAGAGAGTTGCAGGAGGTCATCATAACCAAAAATGGAGTTCAGGAGCCCGTTTTTGCTGGCAGAGCGCTTGGCCACCACAAGCACCCCTGACACAGGTGATGTCATGCTGGCCACACCCACCCTGGTCACACCCATCCCAGCCCCCCAAGGTCAGACACAACCCTTAATGAAATCAAGTTTGACACCCCTGCTTAGAGCCTTAATGTATCTTTTGAAACAAAAGAATATTATGGTTCTTCACTATGGACAGATCATTTCTTATCCAAATGAGGATTATTACCAATACAGTTCTTTGAAAGGCAGGAACACAAATTATAATGGTTTATACAGAAGCCTTATAAACCTTCATGTACAACTGACCCATCTAGGACATACATCTAAAATTGGGATGATTAGCATCCCCATATGATATATTTAAGGGATCTAGAAAAGGTGTTTTTCTGTATAAATTCAACTCTCACAGAACAACGTTCCCATGTGGGACCCAAATTGTGATCTCCTTGAAGATGTTTCGGAGCATAGTTAAAACACATTTTTCGGAGTGCCTATTCATAAAATGAGCAAAATTCAGTATAAATTTGTCCTTGGTAGATTTTGAATACTCGTGTTTTCCTGAAAATAAGACCAGGTCTTATATTAATTTTTGTTCGGAAAGACACATCAGGGCTTATTTTCCAGTTAGGTCTTATTTTGGGGACTAAATGTATCTGGTTGATTATCTTAACTGGGGTATTTTGGGTGGTAGGGATTAAATTAAAAGCATCTTGAAAAATCATGTTACGGATTATTTTCTGTCTGGGTCTTATTTTCGGGGAAACAGGTTGTCTCTTGTTCACTTTAACAAATAATTTATAAAGTACCCCAAAACATTAAAAAGCTAACCAAGAATGGACTGGATAGCTTCTTAATTATATCAATATTTATGTGGCTTAAAAACTATTTTCAAAGAATGTCAACTTCAGGATCTCATCAGAGAATTATCAAGTTAGATTGAACAAGGATTTATTCTGTATTTTCTATTAATATTTTACTTACTAATTTCAACATATTAACTCTTTTGATTACTCCTGTAAATCAGACTTAAAAAATTAAAACTTTTAGTAAAAAACTTTTTTGATAATATAGTTGAAATAATTTTTTTTTTTGAAAAGACTCAATTTCAATTTCATATCTGCTCCTTTCCCCGTTTTTATTAATTAATAAAGCCATGAAGATTCAATTTTGAAGTATTTTTGCTGTTCTGGAAATCATTCACATAAGATATTAGCAGGCTTTTCAAGTACTACCTGCACAAAACTATGCCTGTTATATTCATTTGCAACCACAAACACTTTAAATATAAAATTGTTCCAATTTTAACAATTAGTCATATTGTAAAGCAAATACGCACATTCCATTAAAGAAATTGAAAAATATTTCAGCTACATAGATAATCAACACTGCATTTATTTCCATATAACAGAATAACCGAATAAAGAATAGGAAAGGACCTTGGAGGTCTTCTAGCTCAACCCCCTGCTCAAGCCAGAAACCCTATACCATTTCAGACAAATGGCTATCCAGTCTCTTTTTAAAAGCCTCCAGTAAAGGAGTAACTACAACTTCTGAAGGCAAGCTGTTCCACTGATTTATTGTTTTCACAGTCAGGAAATTTCTCCTTAGTTCTAGGTTCCCCTTGATTAGTTTCCAACCATTGTTTCTTGTCTTGCCTTCTAGTGCTTTGGAGAATAGATTGACACCCACCCACCCCATCCTTTGTGGAAGCCTCTCAAATATTGAAACACTGATTTCATGCCACCCCTAGTCCTTTTTACTAGTGAAACCCAATTCCAGTAACCATTCTTCATATGTTCTAGCCTCCACCCCCACAATCATTGCTCTTCTCTGCATTTTTTCCAGTCTCAAAATCTTTTTCATATTGTGATGACCAAAACTGAATTCAGTATTCCAAGTGTGGTCTTACCAAGGCCTTATAAAGTGATAACCCTAACAAGATAAAAGTACTTACCCAGTGAACCATCATGATTCACAAACATATTATATAATAAAAGAAGAAAAAAGCACAAGCAGAATGCAACTTAGAGACGCCACTTGTTTAGAAAAATAATTGAAGGAAAAAACAAATAAGAAATTGGCCAAAACATTATTAATTTGCTTGTCTAAAAGATCAACTTTACGCTGTTTGAACAACAGTGGGCAAAACAAATCCAGCTAGAGTTATGTGCAGATACAATCAATGTGACAATGAATCAAAATTAGTGATTTGGGATGGTACATCATCAGTGGTGAGATTCAATTGTTTTTAATACCAGTTCTATGGGTGTGGCTTGGTGGGCGTGGCAGGGAAAGGATACTGTAAGATCTCTAGTCAGAAGTGGTAATTTGCTGGTACTCTGAACTACTCAAAAATTCTGCTACTGGTTCGCCAGAACTGATCAGAACCTGCTAAATACCACCACCTCTGTGCATCATATTTGACAGTACCCTAAAATGAATTACATATTCAAGGCAACTTACCATCAGAACTTGTAAGTACAAAATTCTCAGCATGGGTTTGTCTCTTTCCACCTAAACTTTTAGGAAACCAGTGAAGATCTAAAGGATAGATATCATCAGGAAGCTTGACAACTTGTGCTGTTTCTCCATTTAACAAGTTCCATTTTATAATTTGGTGATCATCGCTGCACGAATACAGTTCATCTGCTGTTGTCCAGCCCACACAGCTAACTAATTCCTTATGTTTTAAAAGAATCAAGGAATAAAAATATTTCTAACATATCTGACTCATGCATTATTCAAAAATAATGTACATTTGTTTTAAAAATTGATACAATAAATACATTTTAAAATCTCATCATCTGAATATTCCAGCACAAAAAAAATACATGGATTGGTAGGAAAGCTGCTTTGCTCAAAAGACAGTATTATATTATAACATCTGCTCTTCAGAGAATGTGAATAAAGATTAGCACATAGTAAAAATGTTGTCTTAAATCCAAAACCAGCTGTAAATCCACTAAAATCATTAAGAATCGATCATTACTGACCTATTTAAATAGAACTTACACAACTTGAACTTTTCCTAGAGAACAGCAATATAATATTGCAAACTATAGAAGTTTAATAGTTAGCTTGTTTATATCTATTTCAAAACAGGCTATTTATTTCTATTCATGTTTTTTAATCCATCACCAAGCAATAGAAAATTCATTTTTTTGCTTCTTGTTGTTGAAGTGTTTAACAATGAACAGTTTAGATGAGGTTTCAAATTACCCCTATTCCACATGCTTTCCATATTCTCAAAACCTTTAGATCAACCTGATTAATTTTTTACAAGCCGTTTTTTTCTATTCAAAACCTTTGACTGTAAACTGTCTCACAACTACCAAGTAGTTGTGGGTGTTTGGTGTTGTCCAGATCTAGGGATATCTCATCTTTCTATTTGGCAAGGATTGTTTCTCCCTATTCAGGGGTACAGAACCATATGGGGAGTCTTTCTGGACGCATAGATCCTGCTCAAAGAAAAAGTGGCAGATGTGGCCAGGAAGACTTTTATAAAACTTGTGACAGTTGAACCCTTTCCTAGATCTTGGGGCCCCCTTCAGAATGTCACTCATGCTCTGGTCACTTCGCAACCTATCTACTGTAACTCAGTCTACATTGAACTGCCTTTGAAGACCATCAGGAAGCTTCAACTGGTCCAGAATGCAGTATGCACAATATGAAAAAGACCTCTGACCTCTGGAGAATCGAGGGCTGGTATCAGATCTGAAGGACAAAGGGTGATAGTAAGGTCCAGGATGATACTCGGACTTCTTTCCTGCCAAGGACCTTCCTCTTGTCCTTGGTTTCCGTCAAATAAAGGTCAAGGATGTCACCAAACAGCTTCTCGCCTGCGCATGGAGCTGATGCCAACTTCCATTTTCGGCGAGAGTCAGACTGCCAGTTGCGCAGCCAAAGCAGTCGTCTGGCTGTCACAGAAGAAGCAATGGCCCTGGAAGTAAATTTGGCTGAGTTCAGGATGGCGTCTGCTGTAAACTCCACTGCTGCAATAATTTTTTTGATGTCCTGGTGTGCCCTGCATTCGGTGGCCAGAAGCCTCTCCTGAAGCTGGTGAAGCCAGCCTCGTAAAAAAAACGAGGCTGCCGTGGATGCTCTAATCACCCAGGCTGCAGCCTGATAAGTGTGCTTGAGAGTTTGCTCGGATCGCCTGTCCTCAGCCTTGAGCACATCCTCTGGTTCAGTGGGGGTGCCAGAGGAGAAGAAAGCCACCACTGGAGCATCTACCGACGGCACAACCTGGGCACTGACCAGGGATGGTCCCACATTGTAGAATCATCCGTCATTAGCAGACGGGCGAGGTCCTGCCCCTGGGGAGGTGCACTGTTCCTTTACTAAATCAAGGAAAAGAAGGGGGAGGGGAGAACCCCGCCTGTACCACTGGCTTAGAGAATAATGAATCGGAGTGGCCAGAAGTGGTTGCTTGTGGTTCAGGGCCCACCTCCTCAGGGCTGAGTTGTGCAGTGACCAAGGCCTTGAAAAATGAAGGTCTAAAAACTCCTCCAAGAGGAGGTTGATCAACTCTGAGGTCCTCCTCTCAGACATATTGGGATCTATAAGTTCCCTTTCCTCCTCCTCAGAATGACCAGAATGGCTATGGTCAGAGGATTTGGAATAATTATCCTCCTCTTCCTCCCTCCACTCCGAGTGGGAGAAGAGAACTGATGCCTGGGCACAACCTTCTGAGAATGGGAGACCCCTTGTGGAAACCTTTGGGTTAACAAGGCTGGGTCCCCTCCTTGAGGGTGAAGGAGATGTTTGAATCCTTCTGCTAGGCCCTGTCTAATGGCTACTGTGACCATCTCCCTGAGATCTTCAGGCCTATTCTTCTCCGAGTGTAGGCCCACAGCAGTGGGGGTGTAGGCTGCTTCAGGCCTAGGCCTAAATCCTCCCTGAACCCCCTGGAAGGAAGGACCAGGTCCGCATGAAGCCTGTCTAAAGGAAGGCCATGACCTGCTTAAATCCTGGGGAAATTGTTCTTCCTCCACTCTCTCAGGGGACCATGCTAACAGCTGACTGGAAGCGGATTCCCCTCGCTTAGAAGAAATCTCAGGACTAATATAGCACCTCCCCAGAATGAGACCTGATGACTCTGGGCTTGCATTTGTGCCAACCTTTTTTCAAACTGCTTTTCAAGAGTAGCATGCCTTCTATTTAAGCCCTAAGCTCAGATTTTGAAGACTTTCAAGGAGCTAGGGCTTTGGCCTTGATTTTTGCAGCAACTTCTTCATTGGCAGAAGGGGCTATCTTTTTCTCTTCCTCGAAGGGGCTTCTGCCTCTTGGGGCTCTTCCAATTCTTTGGTAGCAGGCTGGGGTGCTTCCCTTTCCACACTGCAAACAACACAGACACCAAGGGTGCTATGAGCTTCCCCTGTGAGGTGCTGCCTGATGCAATGGGCCAGGCTAGTTATAAACTGAGAAGCCCTGAGAAAGCGTTTTTACCTTCAACAAAATGGCCGCCCAGCTGATTCAAAATGGCCACTCACCACGTGGAGAGGCTCCAGAATGGTTTCTTTACCTCCTTTGCTCAATAGGCTCTTACCAGGCCCCGAGTGATCAAATTGCAGTGAAACAGCTGAGAGGTGGTAGAATGAAGCTCTGAGGTCAGCTGTGGAGCAGTTCAGGCGGCAGCAGCGAGCTGCATGATCGATGGAGTTGCATGGAAGACTTCTAAGAAGGCTCCATGGGTCAGCAGCCCTTCATGAGGCAGTGCCGAAGCCTCAATGCTGCAGGAGAACAGATCCCCACTCTCCTGGAGACAGAGCTCTACCGGATCCTGGATTTTTCAGTCAGAATCTGTCTCCTAATCAATTTTTCAAACTTTCTCTTAGCTCTGTTAAAGCAATCTTTCCAGAAACTAGTTCTTTGACAAGACGCTGAGGCAAAAGATGGGCGGGCCAGCCAGTCTGATGACATCAGGAGGACCTTAACCCATTCCTGGACTCTCATTGCAGTGTCGATGAGAATGACTTTGCTCATTTCACTGCAGGACACCACATTTTATTAGCTTATAACACATACTTTTTAAAACATAAATTACTACAGACATTGAGAAACATAAGGTCTATTATATTGACAACATTATTTCAGACACAAACAAAGGATATGTTTTGGTTCTTTTAGCAGTGATATCTTTAACCTCATTTGGACTTTATTTTCTGTGCTGATAAGGCAGCAGATTCATGGATGAAGAAATGTTGTCTTGATTGCATATGTTACAACTGTAAATATTTAAAAAATCATTAATACACCATCCTCTAAGACTACATAAAAGATTAACATGTTAATAAATGCAAACATATTTTGACTGTTTTGTCCACAGTAGCAATACAGAGATATTTTATAATTTCCCTGAATTTTCAACTCTATTTTATAATTGTTGGTTTGTGAAGATCAACATTTATATGAATCAGATGGTAACAATCTTCTAAAATTTCCTATCATAATTTTACCAACGTAATATACAATCCAAGTTTACTTCTTTTTTTCTTATAATTAAGCTCCAGAAAGATAGTGGAGTTCTAACAGGTATAAAGAGGTTTTGGAACCATTAAATGTTAAGAAGCTGAAATGTATCTAAGTTGGCAAATAATTACTTCAAATGTAGGAATCTACCTGGAGATAACAATGAGCTTTTTCTTGGAATAAGCTGAATTTCCCTAACAATCTGATGGCCTGCAAATCTTTAGCTATCTTAGCCATCAACTATGGTTAGACTGGACTTTGAACATTTCATACATTATTCACATTTGGGTTAGACAATTTCATTAGGTTCCGTAAAGAGCTTCTTTTGAAGAAGTCTAGAAAGACAAATGTCCAAAATGTGGAAGAATATTCTTTATCAGTTGCATAGGTTGCCCAAGTATTTCCAAGACCAACTCTGTCCTATCACTATTCATATCAGGCTTCGGCAGAAAACCAGCTGCATCTAACTAATCATGAGTAATATTTGTGATAAGGATCCTGTTTGAAAGCTGTTCTTTAAGATCAATTTGATTGGCAGGTATAAGGGAGAAAAAACTTTTGAAATGGCAACAGTAGAAAACATTCTATCTTCCAAAGATGTGTCGGTGAACAATTCTGGCACAGTCTAAAGGTTCACTTCAATTATTTCAAGATATCCTTGGAATATTTATGCTTTAAGCACATAAGCATATTTTAAAGGACCTATTTTTAAATTATTTTATTGTAATATTAGCAAATTACATTTTACCTATTCTTTAGGATTTTGCCCTAAAATGTAACAATATACACTTGTATTAAAACTAAACATTAATAAATTGTAAGCTAATATGTCCTCTGACCAAAGCTAATAAAATGCAATATAATTATATGCATGAGAAAAAATATTGACCATATTGGTACTTTATTAACTTAGTATTAAAAGCCTTGGGTCTATTTCCTGGTACAAACTGAAGAGTAAGAAAGAATAACTACAAAAAACAGAAAATAATACAAATTACTCTGCAAAACAATAATCTAACTTCTACAATTAAAATACTTGCATTAAAATTAACTAAGAGGCACTTGCTTATTCAGCATATCTTATTAATTAGAACACATGCTTTCTAATCTCTTAGGGGTCCTATGACAAACGGGCCACAACCCACTGAAGAATTACTACACAAAGGTTTTTACAAGGCCTAAAATAGATACAGCTACAGGACATATCAGTTTGCCCCAGAGTATTTCACAATTAATTTGAAAAAAAGATACTTCTTATAAATTTAATTTCAAAAAAGTTTGAGGGTTGAACTTTTAGAGAATGCTACAGTTAGGCATAAATGCATATTTTAATAACACAGAATAAGCAAAATCAGGCTTAAGAGCTGGTTAACTGAAAAAGCAATTTTTATATGTTCTTAAAATAATTTGTTTCATCCAGTTATTATATAGCTGAAACTTCTGTCATTTATTAATTAAATATGAGAATGAGGTAATAGGAGAGTACAGCATATAACTTTGTTACTGCATTTCAAAAATAAAGTTTTTCATACAGTATTTTTAAAATGAAACAAGTTTCAATAAATCACATTCTGGTTCACAATCTTATTTCTATGTGTGAATGAATATACATTTTAAGATTATGTTTCTGATTAAGGCTCTCTTACTCTCTCAATTGCTGATTCTTTTCCCCTCACTAGAGAAGATGCATACAGCTTCCACTTTTCAATGCAATTACTAACACATATTTATATAAGACAGCTTACAAAAAATCATGTTAACTTTAATCTTAGTCATATAACCTTCCTCTACAGATATTTCACATCAAAATTTTAGTACATTTTATAATACTCTATAGTCTAGTGGTTTTTAAAAAATAAATAAATAAATCTAAGTTTTCACAACTTGTTTGTATTTTTACATTGTCAGGATATATCAAGGATTTATACTATCCTTGACAATCATATTAGTATCAATGACACTGAAAGCATACTTTTACTACTGTAACAATGTATTATTCCCCATTCTTTGGCTAGGATGAACTTCCAAATAATGTTACAATTACAGTACTATCCATAGAGCTGTTTAACAGGCTCTCTAGATATGTGGCACATAATTATTTTCTTAGACACAAGATGTAAAGTTTTAGCTTGGACTTTCATGTAGATGTGCATAGCATTACAGCATCTAAATAATATATGGAAAATGCTTGCTCTGTTATACAGTGTTAATTTGTCATTTTACTGAAATATGCATGTAGATTTCTTCTCTTTGGAAACAACAGAAAGTTGGAACAACAGAAAGCAGACATTTTCATGGCAGTAAAAACTAATATCCAGATAAAACATTAACCTAGTCACCCTTTGAGCACTGAAATAGTGTGAACTCTTGATTTTCTCTAAGAATCTTAATTTTGAATTAAAAAAAAACGATTAAAGCAAGTACCACACTGACCACAAATACAACTTACTTTCTACCTATTTTGAAGAGTAATTAGCTGAGATCACCCATAATAAAATATAATGTAATCTTACTTTGATATAGCTAGATTCCTTTATTATACTAAATCATTCAGAAAACACAATGACTATGTTTACCACAAGAAGCTAAACCGAAGCCAAATAAATTACACCATGGCTTAATATGACATTTACACTCAGTTAACATGTTAGTTACATGAAGTATGCCAGAATCTATGAAACATATTGTTTAATAAAAGTATTGGTTTTAAGGCCCAAGAACTGTATTTTCTACTGCAAGATTATCATAAGAACATATTAAGAGTGCAACGTAAGGGAGAAATCCTACAGTACTGGAAATATTTGTATTATTTAGTCAGTTATTAGCAAGCTTTTGGTAAAAGCTATCTGAATTTCAGAGGGATCTCATTACACACTATGCTTTTCTTTGTAAACTTTGTCTGATTTATCAGTATATCCTCAATTTTATTCTTTATTATAACTACACTATAATTTTCTCTTTCAGTAAATTTATTACACATGACAAATTGAGAAAAAAATTTCACCTCTGAACCATAGCTGCTAACTCTAACAAACTTACACTTTTTGGAAATATTTTCTTTTAGGGTGGCCTGATGGCTTGGCTATTAACATGCCGGGCTTTTACGATTTGAGACCCTAGCGTTGCACAATGGGTGTGAGAATCTGTCTTTCCATCTAGCAGTGTTGGCGAACCTTGTGCACGTGCCAGAAGAGTATCAGGAACTAGAAGAGCAGCTCCCTGGCACGCACATGCAGGAGTGCTGGAAACCAGAAGAGCATCTCCCTGGCATGTGCTGGGAAGCTGAGCTTCTGGTGCCTGGCACACACATGCCACCTGGTCTTCCGTTTTCTGGTGCGCACGTGTGCACAAAGATCAGCTGGCTGGTGTGCCTGCTTGTGCATGTGCTGGGGAGCTGCTCTTTCGGTTTCCAATGTTCCCACATGCACGAAGACCAGCTGGCCAGCAAGTGTGAAGGCTGGCGTGCCTGGAGAGATGGCACTACATGCCATTTCTGGCACATGCCATAGGTTCGCCATCACAGACCTAGCAATTCAAAAACATGCAAATGCAAGAAGATAAATAGGTATCATTTTGGTGGGAGGAAACAGCGTTGTTATGCTGATCACATGACAACAGAAATGTCTTCAGACAGTACTGGCTCTATGGCCTTGAAACAGAGATGCCCCCCACCCCCATATTTGGCAACAACTAGAGTAAAATCCGCAGGGATTCCTTCCTTTCCTTTCTTGCTGCAAATTTCCACAAATTCTCAGGGAAATATGTACTAAAAGAACTGAAAATCTTCTCTGTCACAGTATAACTGAAAACACACTGCTAACATGCAATGTAGTTTAATCTTTAATTGGCATGTAATTGGCTCTGGTATTCAGTGAGATTATGGACTCTTGAATCCATCTTTTCATAGAGTTTAATTTGGCAAAATAAATGAAAGTAGAGTAAAATATGCAATTTGCCTCTTTTAATAGTGAAGCATTCTTCTCCCCCACCCCTTCTCTAATAAGATGAGGATAATAAGAAGTCTCTTTCGTGTTTCAAAGCCTCAGAACATATACTAAATAATATAATGTAATACAGTGTTAGCATTTCAGTGAAGGGAAAGAGTAGCAAATCTTACTTCATTTCAAAATCTATTGAATTTTAACAGGAACTGCCAGAAGACCAGCTTGTTATCATCCATACCTCCACAAGTTTTAACTGACAAATGAGCTTAAAAGAAAAGGATCAAGAAAGGGAGTTGCCCTGTGTAGTCGTATACAGCCAAGGAACACAAAACAAAGCCTCAGAGTGTTCGCTTCCCAAAAAACTCTTACTGTGAAAATGACAGGCATCACTACGGATACTTACACTTATCCAGTTTCTGGTACCGTAGATAGATGTGGCGGAGGGAAGGACTGGTCCTGGTTAACCCCTTCCCTGACAAGCAATGACCAGGAATGGCAATAATCCTGTCCTTTGCAGTTCTCCAATGATCTCCGAAGGGCCAAGACAACTCAACGAGACCTGGGTTTGTCAATAAAGCGTTGCAGTCTCTCATCACTCGCCTCTGAGTCTCTTTACCTCCGGCTCACTTTTCCCTTCCTTACCTGTCCAAAGTGAAAGTCTATATGGGAAGAACTTACCAAAGAGAACTCGGAGTCAGGAGAAAGGAAGTAGGCCTCTCCTAGGACAGGTGTTCTGAACCTCCATGAAACTAAAGGCGCCAGTCTCCTAACCGCACCCGACAAAAAACCCTCCCCAAGAAAAGAAGAGCTTCTCTGCCGTTTTCCACTGTGAGAGAAAGCGGCTCGGTTTCTATAGCTACTTCCCGCGAGAGTTCCTATGCCTAATCTCGAACAATCTTCACCCTCCCCCACGAGGTTTGACTTTTTTCTCTCTCCCCCCCAAACTCGGGTATCCCCGAGCGCATGACGCCAGCCTTGACGTCAGAAGCCCAAACTGTCAAATTTAATCAATACAAACAAAATTAAATGTTTCTTTTTTAAAGTAAAGATTGCAGCCAGTCTTTTTTTTTAAAAAAACTATTATTCCATTATCTCTAGGCTGTTGCTAAGTAACCCGCCTACTCAACGGGAGGATCCCTTCCCTTTCTCCTTTGTTATCTGAGGATATTTTCAAACATATTCTTCCAAAAACTGGGAAATATGTCTCCTGCATCCTTCCTCTTACGCTTAAAAAAAAAACTGTTGAGAAAACATGACGTGAAAACAATCCACCACCTTTTCGCCAAATAACGGTAAACAAGATGGCGGCGCGGGAGAGCGTTTCATTTTTTTTTTCTGCTTTCAAACCTACGGGAAGCCTGCCCCTTTCTTCCCCCAGCATGCTTTGCGCTTTTCTAACGAATTTCGTTACGAGTTTGCCGTTTGGGCGCCATTTTCGAGTGTAGAAGCCGCCAAGGCTGCAGGCAGGAAACGAAGGTGGCTGGTATTGCAGGGGCTGCTAGTCGGAAACTTGCTGGCCCGCGCTTCTACTTACCAACTCCGCTTGTGGGTGAGGACGGAATACTTAGTAACTGCCTGGTAAGCTCATCCGTGGATATAATATTCCTGCGTTTTGCTTCAGGAGATAATATTTTGAGGAACTCGCTGGGATTAGACTGGAGATTGAAGCTTCGATACGGTAAATAATTATTTGTTCTGTATGAGGAAGAGTATTTGATTCCGCCTAATTGAGAGAACGGAAATTCAGCGCAAATTTCTCTTGTATGGAAAAAGCACTTGCTTCATTTCCCCCCTTCCCCCAACCGGCGGACACTTTTTCTTCTCCCCCGCTTTTCCCACTCCCCGCCACCGCGTGGGGGAAGGGGACAGAAGGCATTGGTTGGCTTTTTTCCCGTTGCCTGTAATAAACGCCAAGTTGACTCCCTAACTTTTATTCTCGCACAGCCATTTTTTTAATTTGAAGTAGGCTGTCATAGTGCTTATTCCGCTCAATTCGTAATTATTTCTGTAAAAAGTGATCTTCGTGGGAGGCTTTTGTGGGGGGGTGTTAGAAAAAATAATTAGCCGTTTAATTGATAACGCTCAGCCTGCTTTTTAAAAAAATGATTTTTCTAGCAACTGAGCGCTTTGAAAAAGCATGCATTGCCTTCGAAGTGTAGAGGAGGGGAAGCTTCTTCCAATACATTTTTTTCAGAAATTGGCAAGACGCTAATTTTTAAAACTTGTACATTCAAATCGCAGCAGAGTTTTGATTTTGCGGCTGTGATCCGATGAGTGGTAGTTTGCATTAGGTCCGTAAGTCTTTTAGGAAACACCGCTACTTCGACCCTTTACAGATGCAAGTTAAGAGGGGTGAGGAAGAGGTGATGGATTTATGAAAGTTAGAAATCTGATTCTCCCTCCCCCCCAAGGATACTTAATGTTCTACATTTTTTATGAAATGCTGTGCATTAAATAGTTTTTTGGAACGTCTTTTAAAATAAACATAAAATTTCATTCCTGTCAACTGGATTTCTTTGGATTCTGAAGTAATATATGCAATTTACTTCAATTTCAAGTTTCCTATTGCCTTAATAGTATATTTTTCCTGTAAAAATCAGAAAGATAATTGCTCAAAAGTACTATGTACAGTGAGTCAAACCAACACTTTAATCTAGAGTAGTGGTTTTTAGGCATTTCTTTAATACTAATATCTAAAAAAATTCATGAGGCATAAAATAACCATGCTTTTCACCTTGTCTATGGTCATGTATAATCCAAATTGTGAACCCATCGAAATTTTAAGATCTGTTCTTTATAAAAGAGTTTTAATTATTTCAATTTTGATGCCTTTTGAGCTTTTGATGTTAGAATAAAATCAACATATCTCGATCCCATTACATATGTTCATTTAAGTTCATATTAATATACTTTTAAGAATTTAAATGCTAGATAGTCCCTTTCTGTACTGCAGAGACTTATTAGGAATTCATTTTTGGTTCTTTATCAGCTTGACTTATTAGTTGGGATCCTATGACAAATTTAAATTGTAATTTATAATATGCAATCTGCCTTAGTATGGAAGATATCTGCTGTTTAAAGATAGGGAAAACACATGCCGCTGTCATAAATAGCTTGCCAATTTGAAATCTTTGTTCTGATCAATTATTATTTGGGGCTGAATTCAATTTTTATAGTCTAGATATAGGGTTTTTCTTTTCTCTTTTAGTACTTCAGCACAAAGGGAAACAAACCTCACAGAGTTTTATAGTATGATTATTTGGAATTGAAACAGCAGACAGAAATCATGCCAAGCAAAAGAACTAAAGTATCTACCGCAGCAGCCCATCAAAAAGGCAATGATTCCTTGGAGGAGTCCTCTAATGATGGGAAACCTGAAAAAGAAGCAAGTATGCACCCCTCTGAAGTACCTCAGCCAGGTCAGTCTCTTATTGACCTGATGTTGCTTTATTAACTTAGCATATAGTGTCATAATTTAAATTACCCTTAACTATAGTTTGGTTTTGTTTATTATTATATGCTGGCTTGTGCAGCGATTACATTGTTCAGGTAAAAGTTGTGTTTAAAAGCAAATCTGGAACTTCAGGAAAAGTTAATTGCCTTATTCCTAGTATCTTGTAAAACCATGATATCAATAATTGAAGTAGATAAAATCTTTGGAAACATTTGGAGAGTAATATTTGTACCTTATGTACTGGTAGACAATTACTGATAATGTTTTAAGTTTGTGCATGTGTGTGTGTTCTCCAGTAAAAGTAAATAACTGCCAGTGCAACTTACTTATCAAATATTAATAAGTGGATTGATACTGAAAATTGATACCAATTATTTAGAAAAAATATTTTCTCAAGGAGTTAGAAAATGGTCTAAGTCTTCCTGAAACATAAATGGCCAGATTTTGAGTGTGTGTGTGTGTTTGTGTATTTGAGAAAGACAAACTTCCTGTCTGAGAAGTAGTGCTGTTGCTGTCATTAGAACTTACAAGGCAATGTATAGTTAGCAACCACAGTGCTGGAGCTCTGGGTGTGCCTGAAAATGCAGGAATATGGGAAGATTCACTGTTTTCTTTCATGTATATGTATATAAAGGTATTTCCTTATACAGGAAGGTACTACATAAAAAATAGTTGTTATGGGAATAGAATTGATTATTGAATTAGTCCTTCAGTATTTGAGCGAGATGCGTTCTAGATCAATTCTTAGTAATTTGGTCTAACTGTACAAATATGTTGATTCTGTTACAGTAGTATAGTTTTAAAAGACGAAGCTTTTACTTGCACTGATAATATATGTGTGTGTGTGTGTGTCTGCTGTAGTTATTGAGTATATCAATTTTCTTGTTTTTGGATATCTTTAGCAGTATCAAATGGAGTAGTTGATGATCAAAGTTTAGAAGAAATTTTGAGTAGCATCTCTCCTCCCCCACCTCCAGCTATGACCAATGAAGCTGGAGCTCCTCGTCTCATGATAACTCACATTGTAAACCAGAACTTCAAATCTTATGCTGGGGAGCAAATTCTAGGACCGTTTCATAAGGTATCTTTCTAGTTTATGTAACTTTTAAGCTGAAGTAAAGATTTATTGTGACTTTTCTACTTCATAGATAAATAAATTATATAATGGCAGCTAACACCGAGGTGGGGGGGAGCAGATGAAAGTCTCAATTACTATTGTTTGTACTTTTCAAAAAGTTGCTTGTTGTGGAGTTCAAGAAGCTAAAAGTATACAAAGTATTTTTCTACTACGTACAAATAATCAGTAATTAAATAAAATTATATTTTACTGTTTGAAGCATTTTATTGATGATAATTATGAACATACTTGTTTGTAGCCTGTTGTTTACTTTGTTTTTTTTATAAAACTTTAGAAATGTGAATAAGGGGTGTAGTTTATATGCTTTATCCTTGGTTATAAAAACTAAGCTTTCCACTACTGTACTACATATTTTCCTACACCATGTTTAAGTATAAATCATTGTGAAAGGCAGAGAGGTCAATTGCTAGTAACTATTCAGCTGCAATGTATTTTTTGTGTTATGCAGCGTTTTTCATGCATTATTGGACCAAATGGCAGTGGAAAATCTAATGTGATTGATTCCATGCTCTTTGTTTTTGGCTATCGAGCACAAAAAATAAGATCCAAAAAAATTTCAGTATTGATACACAATTCTGATGAACATAGTGACATCCAGAGCTGCACTGTAGAAGTTCATTTTCAAAAGATAATTGACAAGGTATGTTTGTTAAACCTGAATAAGCTAATCACCTAATGCCCTATGAATTTTTAATTATGCAGCTGATTGAATTTATGTAGAAAAAAGCACTGGAGGAATATTGAATTTTTCTTATTCAAATTATTGTCTTTAAAATATTGACTCTGTAAATGTGTTAAATTGGGGGAAGTGTTTGCTGTGTACACAATTTGCAGCATTCTAGACATTTGGTTAGCTATAAATGTATAAATATTGCTGAATAATTTTTTTTTAAACTAGATAATTCAAGGGTGTGGTATGTGTGTGTATTTGGATTTAGATCAAATGTATAATTCAGTATTAACTTTTTTTAAAAAAATATATAATTTACTTGAACTTACAAATTATATATTTAATATTTACTTTTGCAAGGATTAGTTTGAAGTTAAATTTGGGACTTATTTCAATGTTTTACTGTTACAAAAAATACTAAAAATACTCACCTTGTCTAAACCTAAAAAAACCCCTCAGATCATGCCAATAACAAATTACTGACTAAAATATCTAAATTTTGTATAAAAGTGATATTAAAGTTGGTATTTTTCTGACAAAAAGAATGGAATATACAAAGTGCAATAATTTTTAATGTAATAATTTAAATATAAATTAAAATATTTTTCTTATAATTTAAACCATGATATATGGCTATTTAGATATTAGACATAATTAGATCATAGCTAATTTTCCATTTATATTAATACTAGCTTTCTAAAATGCATTATCTACCATATTTTTATTAAAATAAATCCTTAAGAAATTAATCTGTGAAAGCAAACTGTTCCTAAAATTAGTAACGCAAAAATGAAAAGGACAACATAATTTTGGGTTTTTATCAACATCTCTGTGAAAATGCTTCTGAAGCAGGAGCATGGTAAA